TTATTTGATAATTCGTCTCAGTATAAAGCAACCTAACAAAATATTTAATCTTTAAATTCGAAATCTTCTGTCCCTGTTTCCTGTGCATTAAATAACTTGTTCACGCTGTTTCTTCTAACAGTTTGTTCCTAGTAATGTATTCAAACCATTAAGCAGTATTAATTACTGTATTTGCAATAGAGTATAATGTTTCTATAAGCAGTAACTTAATGTGTAATTTGTGGATTTGTTGTGAGTAAAATAAGACAAGCTCTGAAGGAACCGGTAGATCATTCTAAGTAACTTTATTCACAATGATTTTTCTGCAGAAAAAGATTTTAGTGATTTCTGAATGCTTTGAAATGCTTATTTGGATTTTAAAGTCCGAATTTCTCCCTCGAATTCCAGATTTTGGTACAGAACTTAACAACTGATGCTGTTGTTTCGTATCAAAAGTCAGTATGATTTTTTTTTTCCCAACCCACTGTGTAATTCTTTGAAATAGTTGGATAAAGATAATGAATCGAGATTAAAAGTGTGGAATTTCAAAGAAAAAGGCGCAAAATATTTGCGGCTTTCATGAAAGGCTAACATCTAATTTTAAATATTGGTTTTCTAGATAGGATGATTTTGTGAATTGCAGTGTCATAGTCCGACGTTTTTGGAGCACCAACACAATCTTCAACGATCATAGCTATATATATAAACTCTTCAATAAAAAAAGCTTAAAAGTCAGTTTGCTTCACAGTGGAAAGGATTACTGTTATTGCCACTTGTTTACAAAATGTGAAATTTTGTTCAGGAATGTAAATGGATAGAATTTGTCATATTAAATATTGGAAAATCTAAAGGTGACAGCTTTACTCCTACAATTTGATGTACAAAATACTTTTGCCTTTTGTAACTGTGAAATAGTAGAACTATGAAGAAATATTATACATTAAAAAATTCTGTCCTAATATGGAGTCATTTAATGCAGAAATACATGTGTTCCGTGGAGGCGACGTGGGTTACATCTACAAACGCCAAACTGTTCTGACTTAAACGGTATGCCGTTCCTCTTGTATGGAATTATGCAGAATGTCGCGGTTTTCGTTATTTCTTATTTCTTCTTTTTTTCGGTATTGCTCATCAAAAAGCAGGACTCACCACTAAATTTTCATCCTTCCTGAATCGTTTGCCGCAAACGCATTTCTTACAAAAAAAAGTCAATCTTTTGACTCAAATCAAGTATATTTACGTCTTTTCCTTGCAGCTGAAGATTGAGTAGATTAAGTTTCTCAAAAATATCTACTAAATAAGGAAGCTTCAATAAAAGTAATCTGTCGTAGATAATCTGTTGAATGCCTGTGACCCTCCTCGCTCAAAAATATTGCTATTTCCCTTCTTAGTTCAAAGACACGCTGAACCGCCTTACCGCGTGACAACCATCTGGATGAGGCATAAAATAGCAAAGATTGATGCTCAGCTTCCATTTCTTCACTCAGAACATCCTTGATTTTAGTGGCCTGGTTTTTTATGAAGTTAACTACTTCAATAACTACTGTTAAAACTATGTTTTAAAAAAAATCCAGGACTTAGCGATTTTGATGCTAACGCTTCCCGATGTATCATGCAAGTGCGTCCAGATATTTTCTGAATATTCATTTTTTTATTAGCACTTGTAAACTGTAGTATTTACCAGACATGCCTTGAGCTCCATCGGTGCAAATCGCAACACAATTTTTACACTGCAAATTCGTTTTAGTAATAGCATCATTTGTAATCTTGAACAATTCAGTAGCCCTCGAGGCTTTGCCATAATCACACAAACATACGAAACATACGAAACAATTCAGTGGCTGTAATTTTTCCTTTTTAGAATCTTGACAGAACCTGATATAGCAAATCAAATGGGAATCATTACTGGAGTCAGTTGCTTCCCCAAGTTGTATAGCAAACAATTTTCCACTAAGCTCAGATTCAAGTTGCTGCTGAATATCAACTGATATATCGTTAATTCGACATGCGACGGAGGACGTGGGCACCACCCCTCTACCAATACGGTTAATCGGTATAGCGCCACGTCCACCTTTATCTAGATAACCATACGTGTTCATTTTGCTAATATACTAATACATAAACATACGTACAAATTTGGTACTTCATACAGTGGCGAAAGCTAATTAATGTTAGACACTGGATAATACATTGCCATGTTACAAGGTGTATGCAAAAGCATGGATACGGTAGCATATATACATAACGTGTGTACTCATATGTTGAGTACACTATGATGATCCTTTGAAGCATTATCATTAGATTACAGAAGACATGTACATACTGAAATATTAGGTGCGCAATGTTATGCTGGAATAAGTAATTAGTACAGTGAATTAAAAGTTAGACCCTAGATTAGTACTGTGTGGTACAGTGTCTTGCTACTGAATTATTTGTACTGTTTCCTAAGTACATTAACCAATGTACAAAGATATTAAAACACGTGTATTAGGTACACAGTAATTAGTGGGTACCCAAGCGTTAGGTAAGTGATACTTTAACATACATTAACAATAGGTACTTAATACAATGCTGAACAGATAATTGGTGCAATTAATTTTAGAGTGGGGCTCTAGTTAGTTCTTTGCGATACGGTGCCGTGTTACAGGATAAAATGTGCAAATGCATAGTTACATTATATACAGAACATAAATTCATATACATATATACAGACATTTTGTGTACAAACACATTAAGTACATGATTATTCAGTGCGTAATTGATGTATATTAACTATACAGTGCCAAGATATGTGATAACACTAGTAAATACATGGGTACAATTACATATAAACGAGGACATACACAATTACATATAGACAAAAGCGTATATACGCTTATATTTGGTACATAATAGTCATTGGTGACATAAACATTTGGTACTTACTTCATATACTTAAACTCTAGATCCATAAAATAATGTTATAACTAGTAATAGGTGCTTATTAATTTACTATTAAATTATTAATAGAACACTAGGTTGATATTTTGCATTACTGTGTCACGTTACGTAGAAATGTATGCGGGTGCATGGGTACAGCTTCATATTTACAATGCTATAACAATTATACTGTTTTCCTGTTTACAATGTTATACCTATTTACAATGCTTATATCATTCGATTTCATAATCAATAGGTATATGGCACATTTATATACATCAGCAGATGGCACATTGTAGAGTGCCGTTGAGGATAATTGATGCAATTAATTTTATAGTATTTTAAAAATAATGCATTTATACGCAATTATAAGGTGCATAATTGTCATTGGGTACATATACATTAGGCGCATATACATATACATATTCATATATTAGTTTCTTAATACAATGTAGGGCAAGTAATTGGTGCTGTTATTTTTACGTGTAACATGATGCTGTAGGTGATTAGATGGATAAACTAATATACATATACACAGCTTTTAGGCACATAATAATCACTAGATTCTCAGACATTAGGTACATGGTATACATATACATATATAAACAGATGGTTCATAATACAGTGCTATAGAAAGTAATAAATGGAGTTAATTTTATAGTAAGATTCTAGTTTAACACTAAGCGAAATGGCTTCATGTTACACAGTGTTAAATACTGACGCATGAATACAGTAATATTTCTACTTGTTAATACTATATATATAAAAATATACAAATATTTAGGTGCATAATTAACATAGGATACATAATTATTAGATGCACTATACATATACGTACATAATACATAAGATTAGTACAATGATGGAACAATTCCATTGGTGCTGTTAGTTTTAGTGTAAGATCCTAGTTTAACGCTGTTCGTTATTGTATCATTTGACAGAAGTATATTGTTAATTTGTGAAGCAAAATTTTCACCAAACATGATTTCTACAATGTATTTGCAAGCCGGTAAAATGAATTGCTCTGTAATAGTGGGGTTTTTTGCATTTAGCTGCTTTGTAAGGCACTTTGTATGATGCCAAGAGAGCCTAATCATTTACTGCCGGCACTTAATGGAAGATTGACTTCTGTTTTTTGAACAATCTCAGTTTTTCCTCAAAACTATCACGCTGTTTATTGACATATTTTCTATGCAGCGTTTTCTTCGCCACATACTTCAAGACTAGTAATGCCGAAATTTAGATACGATTGGTCATATTTTCTTGTTTTATATTTTGGACTATCTCCACTTGAACCTGTTGATGTATAAGCCACGTCATCATCAAGTTTTCGTTTTAAAAGTTTATCCATACCATATCTACTTATAATTCACAATAATGCTGCTTAATGTTAGAAAACCTGAACTGAAAATATCGTGTGTGCGCTTCTCTATTTATAGTCGCTTTGCTTCAATTCAGACAGTTTGAGAAAGGTCAGGAAGCTTGAATACGTGGGGGGAACTTTCCTACAGCATCTAGACTAGACTGTTCGGCGGTCTAAGACTAGACAGTGTTGCTTAGGTGTTATCTGAATTTTTAGGTTTACGGATTAGAGGGGGCGCAAAATGTTTCGAATTAAAACAGGGGGGCGCGAAGAACAAAAGTTTGATAACCACTGTACTAAGTTAAGTGTAGAAGTAATTGTGATTCTAATTTAGGAACTTAGTAAGCCACATTCTTTTAAAAGTAAGAAAAATCGTAATTCGGACGCTATAAATCGGGAACCTTTCGTATCCAGTTAGCTTATCTTAAAGATTGAAATTTATGCTCCATTTTTTTTTTTTTTTTCATTTCATTCATTCAAGTGAAATTTTGATATAGTAGTATAATATGATAGTTGTATATGACTGTAATTTGACTCGCAAAAAAATTACTGACGTAAATAGGTAATTAGGTAATTATTGTGCAATGGAATAAACCATTTATAGCAAAAATAGACTCTTTAGATAGCTAACAAATGGTAGACTATTGTAGTAATGAATAAATTATAAATTAAGATTATTTACTTAAACCGTGTATGAAAAAATAACTTTTTTTATTATAATGATCTATTTTCATTTCAGATTCGACGGAACAGTCCGGTTTCTGTGATGTATTTCTTATGGTACTATCGTACATTTTAATAGTCTGCACGCTCCCTTTTTCACTCTTCTTCTGTTTCAGGGTAAGTTACAATTTTCTGGCATATAAGTTTAATACCTTTGACTGAATATTCCACTCTTGTTCAAAATTAAGCGAATGTGCAAATCATGTCTATTTTTACGAAAAGTATTGAATCAAAGTACTAATTATGCCTCCGAAAAATTATGCATATATTCAGAGTCGAATACATAAACGGACACGTGCACGTGTATGGTGTGCGGATCTGTGATTGTGGAGAGGATACAAGCGCGTGAGGAGTCTTCGCAGATTTGTGTGCTCCTACTCCTTCACGATAGTAGCCGTGTTTCTCTTAAGAGTTAGGTAGATTTTAAAAGGTATCAGGTGAAATGAGTAGCCACGAATGTAAGAATGACAGAATAAGGTGGAATATTGTCGGCAGGTTTGTGATAGGGGAATCACAAGCTCTGGCGGCTACACAGCTTTATGTAACGCACAGTGTGGTCAGCAATTTATGGAAACAGTTTTACAGATGAGAACGGGTCCGGGCACCCGAGCGCTTACAAGGACTATTCCGGTATAGTCCGCAATCTACAACTGTAAAGCGCAAGAACTCTGGCGTGCCAGAAGTGCGGCGTTGGAAGTTTAGAAACTTTTCATTATGCACTGCCATACGAGGGCAAGATATAAGGCAACAAGTTACAAGATTCTGTTACACTGATAACACTGTTACACTGAAAATGTTGTTCTACTGATACTGTACACTGATATTTGAGAATTTTGCACTGGTATTTAAACATTTCATACTGATATTTTTTGCGTACACTATAGCTGTTACATAAATATTATGCACCTAATAACAAAACATTTACACCGATGTTACTCTGATACCCATACAGATTCTACTCTGGTGAGCATATATACCCTGGTACAGTTTCAGGACACTGGATCGATTTCGAAAGGACCTGGGCAAGGTCGACCAAGATTCACAAATGCGAATGAGGACCATTATGTGGCACTTTCAGCGCGGCGACAGAGGACTACTACAGCTTCACAGCTCTCACGCGAGCTGTATGCTGCCACTGGAATACGAATTTCACGGTCTACAGTTGTCCAAAGCCTTCACGATATAGGGTTGTATGCCAGAAGTCCAGCTGTTTGCGTCCTGCTCATTGCAGCATGCAAGAGAGTTCGTTTAGAATATTGCAGACAATGTGTACCGTGGGAAAGACTTCAGTGAAGCACCGTACTAGACACTGATTCTCGGCATACGTGTACCTGAAGAGAGACCAGAACACGATACCATTCTTCCGTCATCAAGGAAAAGATTATTGCGGTGTAATGGTTTGGCCAGGCGTTATGTTGGACGTCCGTATGTCCCCGCATATGTTTGACAAAGGCTAATCTGATAGCTATCATGTAATAACAGAAGATCTTAGATCCTTATGCTCAACTTTTTAAGGGCCCAGTTGGGACTGATTTCCTGCTAATAGACGACAACGCTCGTCAACATAGGACTCAGTTGATCGATGATTAACTGGAAAATAAGAATATTCGCCGCATGTATTAGCTAGCCAGATTTCCTGACCTTAACCCAATAGAGCATGTGTGGGACATCCTGGCAGAGCAATTTCATCTCGCCATCTCCCTTCGAGAACCCTCCGGGAGTTGAAAACTGCTTTGCCGTAGGAGTGGGATCGAATGCCACAACTCCTCAACTGCCTCCTGTCAAGTATGCCATCACGCTGCGCGACATGGGAGAATCATACCCTATATTAGACTCATTTTCAGTTCGTGTCACAACACGGATTTTGGACGTCCCTGCACTATGAGCTTGCGTACATAAAATGCTTGCATAAAATGAATGCGCACAAACTCATGCGTGCATAAAATGAATGGTTCATCTCTTCCTCTCTTATGAATGTATATTCACTCCAAATTTCATTAAAATCTATTCGAAAGTTTTTCAGAAATTTGACATAATGTGCACATTTTCTTAATTTTGCTCACGAGTGTGTTTTATATATATATAAATATCACATCGAAATTACTCATTTATGGATAACAAATTTCATTCGACGAGTTTCGCAAATTTTTATGATATGCACTTTTCCCGGAATCTTGACCAATAAATTTATGCTTTTGCTTAGTACAAGGTAAGATATTTAATTAATAAATTTTGGGAAAATTAACTGTTAATAGTAAAAAGAAATATGTTTATTCTCTTATACGTACATTGAAAATAATATACATTTTTTGCTTTTTAAATAAGTATGTTTTTAAGTAAGAAATAAAATTATTAAGCAATCAAATATATTAATTATTTGCTTTTTCCTATGAAAAAGATAGCCTTCTAAGCTACTAAATATGCAGTATCTAATTCATAGTTGTAGCGTACATGAGTCAAGGAAATCCGATGTCTAGAAAGCTTTTTTCACCTCGCGTACACGAAGCTACAAAAAGTATTTTCTTACCAACAAACTATTATTTCTTTTAGATTTCGATTTAAGGACACATCACATTTTTTCATATAAACATCGCTAAATAGCTAGCACTCCTTAGAATGACGATGTCCTGTCACCATACGTTTTTCCGAGTTGCTTAAGTATTACAAAATAGTTAATTTTTACAAATTTCTTTATTAAATACACTATGATTATTTGATCGAGGTAAGTTACTAAAACAATACGCAGGGAGTCTTTGAATGTCGTGTTTTATTCTTAGTTATTTTATTTGCGTAGCATCAGCCCTTTTATGCTGCTTTGGTACTGAAATTAAGGGTTACGCCATAGAATCGAAGAAATACGGTACATTGTGCAGCTGAGAAGTAAGTGCTTGATTGACAATATTTTTTTTTTAGTTATATGTGAATAAATGAGAAATTTTCATGGTGCAGCAGCATGATAATTTCAACAGATATTAATTTAACTTCTAAACTTTCTCTAAAAAATACTAAAAGTGACAGACCTAGCTCTTCTTTCAAGACATTTTCAGTAAATATAAAACTACAAACAGAAGACCCTTTGATGCTTTGTGGAGCACGAGAAGACTAAATTAGAGTAAGCAAAAATTATTACTCCATAATGTGCAAAAACAATTAGCCATTTAGTAGTTTATGATGGTTAAGAAATGCTTTAATTTGGTCTCTTTAACTGCTTGGTAGTGGCAGACTAAGTACGAATTTAGTAACTTCATTGTGCTTTTAGTATCTATGTTTAGGTACGAAAAATCTCACTGTTACGTTACGGCGAGATTATAGCTTTTCGCACATCAGCGATAACGCGATCTGTATTTAACTCAGCTAATGAAAATACCTGCAAAGCTTTATAAAAGTACAGTAATAAAAGTACTGAAATTTTAAATTGACTAAAAAATCTTAAAACTTTAGATAACACTTAGAGATTTGATTAGCGCGTTGATATCATGAATTACATAACATTTACTGTACATAAATAAGAGAAGAAAAAAGTACATAGAATTATCTATGAATAGAATTATCTATGAATATTTTGTATTTTTATTTTTCAAAACGATATGGATTGCAGTGCAAATGTTTGTATGAATACCATAGAAACGAAACAACGATTTCTCAGATTGTTTCAATCAAAAAGCATAGTCAGATATAGTCCTCAAAAATGGATTGATTTTCCACTTTTATTACGTGTATTTCATTATTCTATATTCTATTAAATATTCGACATCTTTAATACACAAACAATGTAAAATACATATAATGGTAAATTTTTCACATAAATACAGTTTTTTTATAAGTTTGGTATTAAGCAGCATGCTCTTTGTGGAAATTCAGGATATTCCCCTGATTGTTAGTGAGCAAGAATTTCGATCTCATAGATCATGATGGAAACATTTTACAGTTTACACGATGTCTAGAAGTTTCTTTTTGTTCACTTTAGTTATTACATTTTGGCAAGTTATCATTGAAATAGGTAATGATCCATTCCTAGCCATTTATTTCCTGCAAAAGAACAGCTCATATTTCATTTACTGTTACTGGTTTTTCCCTTGTATAACTTGAATATAAATTACTTTCCTTTAAAATGTCTTCCTTTAAGAAAATACTTTGCCATAGCCCTAATAATCCAATTCATTGTTGCTATTTTCGAAAATGAAGTTCTCTGAAATAAGCTATACGTGTGCAGATGTCAGGCCATCATTGTGAAGTACTTTAAAAAAAGAAAAAAAGATGTCACACAATTTTCAATTCTATGAGAGCCTTAGTTTTACCTTCATTATGTAGAATCTTTTAAGTCATAGAAAATCATTTTTTACAAACCCACAAGCCTTAGTATATAGCCTGAATTTTTTTTTTAATTGATGAACGTGGTGAAAGTGACGATAGTCATAAAGATTCTTGATTTTCTGGGGATCTATATGCATATCTCTTAGGCTTAGGCAAAGAAAACGTCTGTCGAAATGATTTATACATCAAAGAACATTTCTGACATTAACATTTCTGACTTTCTTGCATCATTTTTCGGATGTTTCTCTAAAATACTGTTACGAATTTGTACACATATGGATAATATTGGTGAAATTTTAAGTGAAACTGTTGTAGTTTTCGGTATAATGTAATATGAAAAGTTTGAGAAAAAGCGATGCTGTACCGGAAAAATAAGAATATAGGGCAAATGGTATTTAACTTGAGTAAATGTCTGTTTCGCTAAATTGGCGAAATATCGCCAGGCTGGCAATGGTTTTGGGGACGAATTTTTATCACCAAATATAGCTAGAAATCAGCAAAAATCTCCAAATTTGGCGAACATTTGGCGATATTTTGGACGGTCGCTGTATAACTGTAATGGGATCGTAATTGAATAACCATAAATCATCCTGTATACAACTGTAACCGTATCCGGCGCTTATATACCTTTCAGTAATTTCGAAAAGTACTAGAAATTTCTCGGCGGCGGGAGGAAAACTATAAGAGCGGAGAGAGCCTCAGTTTCTTACTTGTTAGTTCAGAGCGACTTCGGAATATTGAGATATCCGTGAGAGCTTCGCCTTTTAGACTCACTTTAGATTCTATTGTGTTTAACGTTCCTAGTAGCTTGAAGTGTAACTACTGATTGTGCTGTGTGATACTATGAAGAGCTGAAGGAGTATTTTTGTGGAAAGTTCGAGAACTGTGAAGTGTTTCTATGGATAAAAAAAATTTTATCAAGCTATGATCGGTTTTGTTTGCATGCAGTCTATTACTCGTACGCACGCAACAATATGACCAGTTTTTAAAATATCATTTATGCGTGATAGAACTAGATAGTAGAACACGTGCTCAAAGAATACTTGGGAAGTTCTGCAGAAATACATATAATAATTCAGGTATTTAAATGTTTCTTAACATTCGAATCTATAGGTCTGCATATTTTATATAATACACATTACATCTATTCCTACTATTAATCAACGTTGGATCTATTAAAACCTTAAATTTCATTCAAGTTCCTTCTCTGAATGATTCTTTTTATTTTTAGGTTGTTCAGGAATACGAGCGTGCCGTAATATTTCGTTTAGGACGTCTTTCTAAAGGTGGTGCAAGAGGTCCAGGTAAATATAAATACGTTTGTTTTTAATGTCAGTTCATTATTAACTTTTGTTGTTTTTGTTAATATTAAGAAAGAAATTCCTTCTAGTAATATCAGCTCAATAACACAATTATTTATGAAATAGCTTCCGATTATACTGATGAGATTCGACTAAATTCATTTTCATGGCAACCATCGTTCGTTATGGTTATGAGATTAAGACAGGAATAATCTTTGCAACATGCATCAATTTATTTTAACAATTCTTTGTACTTTCGAGAAATGAAAAATGTTCCAAAGAACTGTTGTTTTGTATATATGCATTTGGAAGTCCAAACAATTGTTTGTTGTGTGTATATATAAGCATATTGTTGCGAGTGATTGTCATCCGTTCATCGATAACGCTTTAAATAATCACGCCATATAAGAAGCAAGATATTGACAACGTATTATAAAATTTAATTACGCGTGACGCAATAAATAAATGCATATAGCGTAAGAAGAACGGGGATATTAAGCAATACCTTTTTAGTACGTGAGAAATATCGTTAATGCCCAAATACAGTAGACTCTAAGTCGTAATTCAGCTTACCTTGTTTGAACCGCTAGTTTTACCTTGTTTGAACCGAAAATTTCGCAGCTAATTATAAAGCGTCTTAACTCTGGGAGCTGCATCCACAGGTGTTAAGTGACGGAGGACGGGGACATCTGGTGGCCACGTCCTCCTAGAAGTATACAGGCCACGTCCTCCTAGAAGGCTAGAAGGAGCAAGTCCCTGGAGCTTCATATGCGGCACGGGCCTCTGGAAGTTTCTAGAAAAATGTGTCGTATGGCCTTGAAAATGCGTCTTTCCAAATCTTCCAGAAATTCGCCAAGCTGATGAAAAAACAGCCAACATCGTAAAGGCTGTTAGGAGCGCATCCTGCCACATCTCGCGCTTGAGTCACAATGCTGTCCGACTCAGAAGTGAAATGTCTACAACTCTATATAAGAAACAAACTCTTATGTTCAAAACATGTGGTTACGAATTCGATTAAACACAACATAAACCCTAAAACTGTCAGCCTAAAAGCAATAAATAAATAAATAAAACAGTACGCTATATTAAAACTTCCAGGAATTAATTGTATTAACAATCTATATTGCATAAGCTTTAATCAGCAATTTTTTTTTCGCAAATGAGGGTTGATTTTGAATATGAAAACTGGAGTTTAAAAAAGTACTCATTTGTAGTTAAAAAATTACCTATCTGTAGTTTAATTTTTTAAACTAATCTTCTTTACCCTCCATACCTTAGGAGCTTATTCCCTAGTTCCTTGATTATTTTTCTCTGTAAAACTTATCTTTTATTCCAGGTTTATTTTTTATATTGCCATGCACAGACAACTACTGTAAAGTAGATCTAAGAACTGTATCTTTCAATGTCCCACCACAAGAGGTACGTTTATCCATTTATTTATTTATTTATTTAATTTCACTTGTTTCTGAGTGTTTTTAAAGTTATATCTCTGTAGTACCTACCGCCTTCCATAGCATAGATTTCGGCAAACTTTAACCAGGTCAGTGAAGCACTTGCCTTAGATGAAATATGAAAAATGCTCCAAATTAACAGAGAATAATTAGAAATATATTTAAAAAAAATAAATTATGATTCAAAGTCGTGGGTAGACAGTTTCCCACCAAATGCAAAAGAATTAATGTGCCGTTATTGTACAGATATTTATTAACTTCATAATGAAATTTATTATTAATGACAATATCATAAAGTTAGCAATTTCTGTGCACTTTTTTATTCAACAACAATTAAAAATTATTTTACCTTAACTTTAATCATTATACATTAAAACATTCATTCTTAAATTAAAATGATCATACCTTAACTCTTATAGTAATTTTGACTACACATATTTATATCCAGAAAAACAATACATAAAATGTATAGTTTTAAATGAAATCGTTAAAAAGACTTGTTTTTGGCACTTTAAAATAAATTATAAATTCGAAACACTATAAATGATAATGTAATTAACATAAAAAGTACTGCATTAATTTTCAATCACTTGTTTTATAATTTATATTTTTTAACAAAGAAGCTCATCAGTAATTTTTTCAAAACCTACTTGATTTACAACCTAAAAAACGAACAGCCCACATATGACATGTTTTCTTGGTCAAGTGAAGGGTCATATATAGATTTTTAAGGTGTGCCACTGTTATTAGTAAATGACGACTTTAAAAATATCTTAGCTTCCGAATCCGAATCCAATTGAACTAAACTTTATTCTTGAATTATCTGTAGAAGATTTAAAATTATTGAAGCTACTTAATCTATGATTGCAGCTGTCTGTAATTACATAGTTTTTAAAATTAAATTTCTGACGCTATTATGCCATTTGAGCATTTAAGTTTTAAGTTGTTTCTTTAAGTCACCTAAGTCCAATGGCATTAGTTTTCCTCCAGTTTGAAATTTAAAATCGCAAAGTGCACGATCATTATTTTAATTTAGTGGATTATTATAATACAGTTACTGTTAAATTAAATTTTTAAAATGTAGAAAGAAAAAAAAATCAGATGACCTTGAAAATCCTTTGTAAGTAGAACAGGGTGATTAAAAAATATCTGGCAAAAATGTAGAGCGAACCAAGATAAGCAAATTTTGTGTGTGGAAATGATGACACGTTGATTTGGTGGAGCACTATTGAGATCGGTAGATGAAAGCGTTTCGCTGGAGTAAGTTGTCATTCCCACTGCAGAGACTATTTATTAATCCAGAGACAAAACTGATATAAATACTGTCTGTAGTAGTTTAGAAAGACATATTAAATTCGTTTTGATGAAAATTAAAATGTGGTATATATTTAAATTTTAATAATTTTCTGCGAAATGTGATAATTTTGGTTGTTGATGAAACAGAGCTACGTTATGCTTTCATATTTTAAATAATCTTCACGAAAATCATGCATCACATTTCAAATTTTAACCTTTGATGCAATGTCAGACTTAACGCATTTAAAGGTAACTGTAAAAGTATTTAAAGATTAATTAACTAATCTGTGTCACAGTAGGCAAAACATAATTTTTTAATCTAAATGACAAAACATAGTTTTTGAATGTACAGTCATCACTTAATTTATTAGTTCCGGAAGTACAGTAAGATATATTCTTTCTTTAACCGAGGTCTGAATTTCAGATATGTTTAATGAAGGATGCTTTTGAACGGTAATACTAGATATTTACATCAAAATTATCATCTGTCGCACTGAACGTATCTCTAATCATTCTAAATGTAGTTTCATTGACTGCATTTGTTGTATTATGTCTGAAGCATAACTGGCAAATTTCAGGTTCTCTCCTTTTCCTTCAAAAGAGAGAGAGAGAATCGAATCTTAACTACAACGTTAAGTTTGTGTTGTTGGTGTTACTTATATCACTAGTCTGAAAGTAACATCAGAACAAGCCCACGAAATTCATAGTGGCAAGTAGAGCAAGATTGCGTTTGCCGTTGGCCAGAGCCTTGAGCACCGTACAGGTGACTTAGCTCAGTCCCCCCCCCCAAAATTTTGATGGAGAGCACTCAGGGAAACGGGTCCAAGAGTTTGCCACCTTCTCTGATGTTATTTTATTGCCCTACTACAACCTCTCGAGAGGACTTTCAGCTCGCCATGTATTTAGAGTGCCCCCATGCCGCAAAGATACGAGCATCCATGCCTTCTCCGGCATTCGAAACCGTGCCCTTCGGTACCGCAGTAGGTTCTTCCTAACCACTATATACCGTCTGGGCGGCTACAGAGTTAAGTCTAAAATACATACAAAACTATACAGTTAACTTTTCAAAGGAAAATTTCTTTTTTCTGGAATAACTTCAAAATGAAAGATAAGCGAAGAAATTTTTAATCGTACTTGCATTATCTTATATATGTGATGCCTCACGTTCATTTTTTGCTTTAACATTTTATGACATTGCTTATAGGTATTGAGCAAGGATTCCGTCACTGTATCCGTTGATGCTGTAGTATATTACCGTGTAAGCAACGCAACTATCGCAGTCTCCAATGTAGCCAATTATGATTCGTCAACTCAGCTGCTCGCAGCTACAACACTGAGGACAGTTCTGGGGACGAAGAGCTTGTCTGAAATCTTATCCGAAAGGGAACATATTAGCCATGTAATGCAGGTAAGCCAGCTTCTTGAGTAGCCTTAAATACCGTGCTTATCGATACTTTTCCAGATAGCGCGAATATAATCAAAATTCTTTTGATGACTGCAGTATAATCACTTCTATATCAGGTTCTTAAATGATTATAGAAGGGTCTAAATAGGAGAAATAAAAATATTAATATTTATATGTTTCAAAATTGCATGTGACTAGTATTTCTGAAGTAATCTCGCCTTATCATAAATTGGAAACATAGGCCAGAGTCCAATGATTCCAGCGTAAGAAACGAATCGAATGTGCTGTGTTGCTATGACATGTTTTAATAAAAATATGCAGAAGTAAAATTTTTAAACCTACGAATAGTTCCATTTTCAAATAACCGTTTATGTTCCTGAAAATTGTGTACTTGATTTGGTAAATTCAAACAATTGCACAAAACGTATACCGAAAAAAAAAAAAAAAAAAAAAAACTCAAAATTATGACTTAACTCATTCTTTGACGAAAATAAACAACGAAAAAGGTGGATTTCCAACATAGTACAAAAACTGAATATCATTAGATAGAATAACGAAAATAAATAACGAAAAGCATAAATTTCCAACACAGTACGAAAACTGAATTTCATTAGATAAAATTTTTTATCTAGCTTTTATACAAATGAAAAATTCAGTGCTATACTCATATGTTTATATTTGTCCGTCATAAAAGGTATATTATAGAAATTTACATTCTCAAAAACAGCCATTCGTAACTGTCTTAACGATTTTTATAGAACTTTTAAATTTGGTCGCATAATTTTTACCATGTGATGGAAGATAGGATGGAAGGGGGACTTAATGAAAAGCATATATTACCAGTGGAGTAGCAAGCATAACTGGCGCCCGAAACAAATAACACAGTGATATGAAAACACAGTGACACGATGAAAATCCTGTTTGGAGACCATTTGGCGCCCCTCTGCGAGCGGCGCCCGGGGCATCATACACCCGCTTGCCCTCCCCCCTCGCTACGCCACTGTATATCATATATACAGTGTGATTCGCTACCAGACAGACAAATTTTCAGGGTGTGTAGAGAGTACAGAGAAGACTCGAAATCACATAGGAATGCACGGTCGCAAATAAACGTTTATCGGTCAGTGTTTCGGCCGGCATTCTTGGAGACTATCTCATTGGACTCATTTCTCTTTTTAGACTGGAAGTTTCTCTTTTTGGACTCATTATCTCATTTCTCTTTTTCCTTCTGCCCAATCCTTTGGACGGTAGGGCATACCCGATCTGCTTACGACAAGTCCTGCCCTAACTTTTTGAAGCAGCACATGTTCCTCCGTCGTTGCGCCCGTCCCATGTGGTACTAGCATGACGAAGCTCTTCCACATTACACCATTGACGTCCGCAGACACCTCGGCGTAACCTTTGGACAGCTGTGGATAGGTCGTAGTGGCTCAGTACATTGGCCTGCCAGATCACAGGACCTATCATGCATGGACTTCTTCTGGGATTACGCGAAGAGTTTGGTGTAAGAGACGCCCGTCTTAGTTCCTGGCCGCTCAAATATCTGTAGCTGCCGGGAGGTGCCGGACATACCAGGAATCTTCCAGAACGTCAGGAATTCCATGCAGTGCCACTGTCAGGCCTGCCAATATCACGTTGGCATTTTTTTTTTTTTTTTTTTTTTTTTTCATGTGAGACCGTATACCAGTTTTAAGTTTTCGTATATTTTTATTAACAGCTGTAAAGATTGTTCAGAGTCTTACTATTCTAAAAATGTGCATTATTTAATTTATTTCATAAACTGAAATAATATGTCTTTGATCAGTCGTACAAGGTATATTTTGTCGTGCAATATTCTTCTTAAATATCGTGTGTAATTTTAACCTAAATTTCGCCTAGTAATTATGACACTTTAATTTGTAAAATATCTTTCCTGACCAAACATTGAAATCAAGCTAAAATTAAATTTTAATATATTGAAGTGTGATACTTTATGGAAAAAGACTTAACTCTTGATAAATTTAATTTTTTATCTGGCAGAACATACGTGACATACGGATTTAAGATAGTTTTGATTTCACAATAGTAATCTCAGAAGTTACAGGATTTGAGGTCATGTAACTAGAATGAAGAGATTTCTTAATTTTTCTTTAGCCCAAAGGGGCTTTTCACGTTTTCAAACTGTTGCCACAAAATATTATCGTCCTGTATTATATTTAAAGAAATTAAATAATAAAGAATCTGCATAAATATTTGTATGTTTCTCGCATTATGAAAAAGCAACGGTACCTAGAAGCATCAAATTTTGTATGCTGTAATCCTCCACCCGAATATGGCCAATTGGAAACCCGAATTTTGAATCTGAATTTAGTTTTATTATCTATTTCATATTTTCTAAAACTTTAACGAATTTTTGATTTAAAAACTCAATGATTTGAAAGCGAGCAGTGGCAACACTGTACGGAATTAAACAGTTTTATCTTCAACGCCGCGAGACTGTCAATCGGAAATTCTAAAGATACGCTGGTTTTTTTAAATATTTTAAGCCCATATGCTCTCGAAACGTATATGTGTGTGTAAAGGAAAAAAAAAAAAAAAAAAAACCTTTGGGGGTAATATAAAATCTGAGAGCTTTCAAATTTTATTTATTCTGCAAAACGCTGTTTAAAATGAGACTATACATCTATTATACATCAATTTATACATTTATTGCATCAAACTGAGATCTGCATTCTTGCATTTTCGAAAATTAAAGAGGCCATTTATCAATCTTTGCTTAGGGGGGGAAATAGCTGATGTTGACAATAAGTAAATGTGGGGGATTATCACGAGAACAAAGTTACAGTCTGCTCAACAGTAATAGGACTTTGGTTTGCCATAGATCAGACACCGAAATCAAACAATAAAATGAATTATTATTTTATTATTTAATGCGAAAGTAAAGACATTTCTCTTTACCTTTGTATAGGTTTTGGGCATTGCTAATTTTTATTATGTTAAACGAAAAGAGGAAAGAGGAGGATTTCTTTTAGGAGAAGGAGAGATTTCTTTTAGATTTCTTTTCCTCACGAAGGAGAGATTTCTTTTAGGAATGGCGGAAGATATAAATTATATATACGTTCTTTTCTGAGGATGATATGCGCCGTAAATTTTGTATGCGTGGAAAACTCTCATTAAGCTAATGGATATAAGCTATTCGATTGCTCTATTAATCTTTATTTTCCTGAAGTTATTGCTTGTGGCAGAGCTGAGTTGTTGTTAGAATAGTATTGTAACTATTTATTTAAACGAGACTTAGCTATTGCGTAAAAACATATGCAGTGAATGGAATAACTATATTTTCATCAGAGCTCCTTGTTATGAGGTTTCTGGATTTATTAGAATAGATGTATTTTGATTTATAATACGCGAGGGAATTTATAGTTGCGCGTGTGTCGTCTCCCCATCTGCAGTAGCAAACGTTTTTACGTATAATAATGATTTCCACATAAATTTCATTGCCAGATATTGAAATGTAAAAGAAATTATGTTTAAAAAGAAATTTTAATAGAACAAATGTTATCCCTGGGATTGCTGGAGAAAGTGCCGTTTTTTGTTCGTAATTTTAGATTCATTTTATCAGTCTTAAATTTCTTTCTCTTTTGATAAGCAGAATGATGTAGAATCGTTAGGTTATGTCGGATCAGGAAGGTCATGCAGGAAACATGAAAAATATGCAATGCTGTCGCTGGGATTCGAACTCCGGATGTCCGGATTACGCGTCGCATGTGCTTCCAATTATACCACGGAGGAACGCAGAAGGGAGGGTCAAAATATCTTATAAATTCAGTAGTGATTTTATTTCGTTGTTTTTTTATATTACTCATTTTTGTTTATGGGTTGATATTAAATTTTTTACTTCAATATAACCTTGAATTTCCAGTCTTTGAGTTTTAATTCTTTTTACATTATACATTTACTCGAAAAGCAGAGCGACAACATCTTAGCAGCAACACACGGAGAAGCGAAGTGCATTATGTTCAGAACGAAATTTTAATTCTAAGTGGATTAGTTTCGATTTCAGTACATCCGATTGGCTAACTAATAATTCGGCACTTTTCCGTTTTGCCGGCGCAGGCGATAAAGTTGCCAATAATGCTACAACTGACGCCAAACGGAATATCCTCGCTGGTAACCTTTTACGCCTCATTTTCAAAGCAAGTCGCAGCCATTTCTTATCAGATTGTTTCTTTCAATACTAGCATACAATTGCATAGAATTTTTACCAGCTAGTTAATTACCGAGAATGCCCTAACGCCATTCGCGGTAATTAAATCAATTAGGATGCAATCACACCGCTCTAAATATAGAAAAGGCAAAGTCAAGGGATAATTCATCAATTCTAATAAAAATGCACTAGCGAAGTAAAGCCCTGTGGTTTTACATAATTTCTGAGTAAGCTATTCGGGCGAATTGAAATACCGTATTTGATGGCATATAAGACGCACGTTTTTTTCCTAAATTTGGTCTCAGAAAAGTTACCTGCGTCTTATACGTGAAGGACACAGTCTTTATACGTGAAGGTAATTGCATTCAATAATTGTTTATTTGGCTTTTACGAAATGTGAGAACTAAAAGAAACCACGCTATTAAAACTTTTTTTCCTTGTGTGTGGCCGTCTAACTAAGGGTGCGTCTTATATGCCGTCAAATAGGTAATTCTTGCATTTAAACTTGTATTACAAATTAAGATTTAACTTGAAATTAATGTAGATAATTGCTGAGAGAATTAGATTTTTGTAGCGTAGTTTGCGTGTAATGAGATCACTTGGGGTGACGTAATATGAACAGGCGAATCAGGATGTTGAGACATGAAAGCATAGTAATACTTTGGAATAAAAGCATAGTAATACTTTGAACAGTACTTCGAATGGGGATCCAGATAGTTGATAGTGACACCACATATTTTGCTTTACGGAACTTTAATGTGGGTTAAAACTTTTTCCCAATAAACAAGTCTCAGAAACTCAGTTCTCTATAGCGCCCTCATCTACTCATCATATGCAGAGCGCATTGCACAGAATCAGCGACAGCGCTTCAAATTCTTGAAGGATTACCGCCTTTATATTTCATAAAAGAAAGGGAGGCTACCATTGCAAATGTCACAGGACTTGGCAGACCATGAGATCTGTGGAGCCACGCATATGTACATTGCAATTATGAAAAATGCTAGGCTATTATGCATTTCCACCCTGCGCACGGAAACCTGAAGCAAAATATGCGAAATCCGCTGCGCACTCGGATCCAAGACAGAAAAAGGTACTGGTATTGGATTTTGTTATCTGCAGAAAAACATCTTTCGGTACAAATAGAAACACAGCACAGTTTAAATAGTTTCATTTTCAAGCCGAACTAACAGTCCTGCTTGCTGCAATCTTCTATGTAATCGAACATGCACTAAATACAGAGATTTTTAGTGACTCTGCGTCTAACCTGTTGGCCACATCGAGCACATGAAGCAAAAGTTCATTGGTACATGCTATTGGCTATCTTATGTTGAGAATTTATTCTCCTTAGCGTCTTGTTCTGTGCTGGGTTATAATTCGCAAGGGTATCTATCACCATAAATGATCTGACTGACGATCTGGCGAAGCAGGCGGGGAACAACATCCAAGGTAAAGTGATTTAAACTATCCTCTCGACACCATATCTTAAGCGGACCACTCAGGAACACATGTTCGAAAAATAGCAGGAGAGATCGTTCACAGGCATCACAGGTCGCACAGGGTTTCTTTTCTTTTCAAATGTGTTTGCAGAGTTACTCAGCAGCTTCTGTTCGTTGACTTGACTGACCACAGACATCAGGATTAAAACCTTAAAAACCACTTTCCATGAAATATTTAGCGTCGGCCTCTAATATTAGTCGTAACAGATGTACACAAACTAAAATTGGCTCAGACTTTACTTACTGTGCCACTGCCTTGTCAACCACGTCGAGCTACGTGCGCAGCCTGCCCAAATATGTCCACAGCGCAAGTTTCGTCAGCAACAGAAGTACAGCGGCACACTTCCACTCTACATTCAACTTTACACAAAGTTCTGTTTTTGCAATGCATATTTTCAATTTACTTATTTGTTTATAAAACGCCCATATGTTTAGATGATATATCCTCTTACATAACCTGCTCCAGCTACAACAACGCTGCTAAAATTTTGTCTTTCCCTGATTGTTCAAAGTGATGCGTTTGCTCAACTTGTCTGTAAATTAAATTGCCTTCTCATCATAAATTAGTTTTCAAGCTATATAGGGTCGTTCAACAGAGTTTATTTCACTGTCAATCTTCCGGCGAGTTGGTATATAAACACCCTGTATAGAGACTAATTCGATCAGTGACCAATAAAAAGACAAAGGCAGTTTTTTAACAAGGGAGATTTGCGAACAGAAATGTTCTATAATTTACGAGCCTTTTAAAAAATTATGCAACTAACATTCCTGTATGGAAAACAAATAATAATATTGATTCTGCATGTAATTGTGAAAGTGTAAGTTGCGCCAGCATCCTAAATAGACCTTTTCAAATAAAGTATCCTAAAAGTTTTGCCGTGAAAAAAAGGACTTATGTCATTTTTCCAGTTTTTATCAGCGAAAAGATTCAATAATGAATGAGCCTTTTTTAAATTGTGATTTAATTACGGATCTAAAATTTCTTTTTTGGAAACATTTTTGGGCTTAATTACGAATCTAAATCTTCTTTTTTGATCTAAAAACTTAAGCAGAGAAACTTTTAAAAAATACCCTTTTATTAGGAAAATACAACATTAAAATTAAGTGCATATTTTAAATCAGAACACAAATCTAAGATAAATTAGGATAATTTATTCAGTCATGTGTTCACTTGTATGACTGTTTAGAAACCTGGTATTTGAATTTATAGTCTGCCAAACTGCCGTTCAACTTATTAGAATATGAATTTTGCAGAATGCAAGCTAGAAACTAATCCTACCCTTTTGCAACATTTTTAGTTATGAATTCCCCCCTTTCCTTTTAATTTCTTCTCTTTCTTTCTTGTTATTATTATATGTGATTTTAATAGAACATTTACTGTTCCCTTTTTGTAAATATATTTATGCATCATGATTTTTAACTAGCAGTATAAATATTTTGAAAAGTCTTAAGAATTTTAATGAAATACAGAGTGAACAAAAGAAATTTTCCTAGTTACAAAAATCCATTGTGCAAAAACTACTATGATTAGACATGTATGAGTTTTTGGGAATGGGAACTGCAACAATTACGCTTACTTATGAACATAATCACACTAGTAAATTTCAGCGTGGTCTGTCTTTGTAGCTTCGAGAAGATCAAATTTGTATCGCTGTTCTCTTAACATGTTCTTCAACACTTGCTCTGTAGCACTCTCTCACAGCATGACTTTCAAAGTATCAGTATCGCGAACTAGAGTCTCAATTGTTTATATATCTTCTGTCCCATTCACGACAGAATCAGTTTCATTTCTCCCAGTAGGCCTTTCACTTCTTGGAAGGCCACCAGTGCTACCAGTTTCTTTTAAAACTTTTCATACCAATTCCAGGTGCTCGTAGCAGGCGAAGGATTGCGTCCGCATTGAATTTCTAAACCCTGTTGATGGGCAATTTAATATCCTGATAGCACGAAAAACAGTTAGCTGTTTTCTTTTATCGATGATGTTTCGTTGTTAAGTGTTTCTTGGCGCCATCAAATACATGGAAAAAACACTTTGACAATAGGAACGTCATAATTAAATTATAATTAATGTCTTTCTTCCGCGATTATTTCATGCAAACCTTTTACAATCAGGAAAACACCACTTTTGATCAATATATATATATATATATGTCAAAATAGATATATCTTACTTGTCATGATCGTGCAATTCGGAGTTTTTTAGGAATTTATAATAAATAATATGTAATAACATTGAGATTTCGCCATAAAATAAAGTGCTTGCAATAGTACAGACAAAAGCGCAAAGTATAGTTCAAAATTAATAAAAGTAAAAATTTTTATTGTGAGTTTATTGTAAGCAATTAAAATGTTAAAATGTTTACTCTCTAAAAACTTTTTAGTAAATTTTTAGACTGTTGCATTTTTCCTGTAATAATCTTTTATCTGTTTGTTAGATTCGGTATTATTACTGGGAGCCGCAATGTTTGCTCTGAAATATAGAGCTATTGAGTTGGACAACAGGCTTGTGGAAAGAAATAAATATCAATATTTTCATTCAACTGTGGTGTCGATTTGTTTAAGTAAATCCTCCCTAGTGACGCATAGATGTCTGACGTACAAGCAAAGGTCGACACATTGAGCGCTTCTGAAATATGTTATAAATAAAACTTTATTTCAATGTAATAAAATACGGCATTGGCTGCGTAGCTTATTTGTTATGAAATTTTAAAATGTTTTACGGATTTGTAAATAATCGCGTATAAATGATTTGGGAAAAAATGAGTAAGATTTCATACAGAAGGGTAGATATGCTTCCAATGCGCTATTAATTCTTTCGCTAAGTATTCATATTTTGTATATCTGGCGCCTATAAAATGGTCGCTATTAGAAATCGGCAAAGCTTCTGAGAGTGAATATGTCGGGTTGTAATTAAATTCTTAATTAGTCCAGGGCCTCGCCCTTAAATGAAACTGGTAATAGAAAAATTTTGAATCTTAGTTTGAAATGAATTCAGTATTAATTTAATTACTCTGTTAACTGAAGTTTTTTTCTTTGAATATGACAAAGAAAATAAAAGTTATCTACGTATGGCGAGGGATGCGCTTCAAGGTGATGGTGTTAGCAGAATGCTATGATTTCTCACACCTTTTAACCGTCTTTTGGGATGTTTAATTTGCTTTTTTACTGTGTATTTTATGTTTATTTGAATGTCTTAAATGGATGTAAATAAATAATTGCCTATTTTTCGTTTAATTCCAGTCTAGTTTGGATGAAGCTACCGCACCTTGGGGCGTGAAAGTTGAAAGAGTTGAAATGTAAGCTATCTTTTATAACTTTCTTTTAAGAACATTAAAAAATATATCATTCTTTTGGAAAGTTGTCATAAATGCAATTAATGCTCCACTGACATAAATGAAACATACTTATTTTGTAATAAAATCCTAAAATTTGAAGAGTGATTTTTATATGACGTTGCAAATCGCTTCGCTGTTTTCAGGTTAATTGCTTTTTTAATCCATATTCTGGGACTTTTCCTTTCTTAAGTTCCCTGGTATGTGGAAAGAAATATGATATAAATATATTTAAATTTAATACCAGTCTCTTGTCAAGTGCAACAGATTTTAGTTATCCAATACCGTACAATTAGGTAACGTAAACTTACTGAGAAATGAAAGTCAAGCTTTTGAAGCTAAAACCTCGTCACCTACCATTACGGACGGTTTACCGAAAGTCGCCCAAACAAGAGCATTTGCAATAGCGTTTTCAATCTGCAGTCTGTAAACAATAGCATTTGCAATCTATAACCGAATATAAATAAAAAGTATCCCATGGACATACTTGTATAATAGAAAAATGCATATTTTAGACATTACGAGATGTTGAACTTTATTGTAAAACGGAATTATGTGGCTGAACATAAGCCAACAAATTTTCTTTGAATATACACTGTCACAAAAAATATATGATGTTGAACATAATTGAAAAACTGATGCGAACAACAGCCTAACGTCGCCAGACACTTATAATGCATTCTGCGGCTGAAGATAAGCAAACAAAAGATTTTTGAATACACACTCTGTCACAAAAAAAATATATGTGCACCCAGAAGAAATCGAGCCACCATCACTAAACTCGGCAGAAATATAGTCTGCTAAGAGATATACAAATAAATTTCGACGCCAATGAGACAAGGGTAAGCGCGCTATCCGCATATGATTTGCGAAGCTGGGAGAGTTTAAAAGCATGCTTGCTCGTGCCGTAGGGTTATTCAAACGAATCTGTCGAATTGGATTGCGACTAAAGATTCCTCTGAGACGTAAATGGCGGCAGTACGAGTAGTTGTCGGACTTTGAGAAAGGGAGTATAATAGGCTTCAAGGAAGCAGTTTGGTCGAACAGCTGTATCGGCCGCCACCTAAGCTGAAGCGATATAGTAGTTGCTCGATGTTGGCGACAATGGATCACGAAATGGATGGTCTATCTCGCGGAAGGTGAGGCCATCCCAGGAAACAAATGAGCATGAGGATCTCTCGAGAGATTATCATCATAACGGTGGCCACTTGCGCACCAACAATGTTGCTAGCATGGATTCGACGCCATTTACCACCTTCTAGGCAACCATTGGTATCAAAGGAAACCATTCAGAGACGACTGGCCGACGCTCGTATATGCTGCAGACGTTTATTAAAACGCCTACAACTGACCCCTGATCATAGGCAGTGTCAATTGGATTTTTGCAGAACTCGGGTAGATTGGAGTGTGACGGACTAAAGGCGTGTGATATTCAGCGATGATTCCCGATTCGCTCTTTGCTTATGACCAACGCACACGCTTGTGAAGGCGGCCAGATCCGGCATTTGTTGTCGAGTGGCATGCGGCGATTACACTAGGTGTGACTTTGGGGAGCGATTTGTTGGTACTTACGATCACCTGTAGTCATCCTTGCAGGCACTATGACAGCTTGCAGTTATGTGGACGACATTTTAACGCCGGTTGTACTACCTATGCTATCAAGTCGCCCAAGTGCCATTTATCAGCAAGACAATGCTCTTCCACATACTGCGCGACTCTACCAGCATCTTCAAGGATATGACATACTTCCTTAGCCTGTCAAGTCACCAGACCTCTCGTCAGTAGTTTGGAAGGTGAGTGAGTGAGTGAGTGCACCGCTATGATGGCTTCCGACCACGGACATGAACCAAACGGAATTATATACCATCACGGCGGAGAAGACTCCAGAGTAACAAGGTTGAATATTATATACTAATAACAGTTTTTACATATTGATATCTGCAAGGCACTAAGTGTTATTCTGGTTATCTGCTTTAAGTTCTGAACATTTGAAACATTATAATATTATCCACGGTTGTTTTTGCTTAGGCAGTGACCTGAGATTTTCTCTATTTTATCGAGGGCTATTCTGTTTTTGAGTGTGTTAGTCGTCCACATTGCCCAGGCACAGTCCGCTGGTTTTCTTCAAGTGCCAGGTTCTTGTATGTACAACATGGAAGTAATAATGATCCGTTGTCGCCTTCTTCTCCGCATTCGCAGAAAGGAGTATCCCTAAGTCTGAATCTGTTCAGGTATACTGGGAATGGTCCGTGACCTGTCAAGAACTGTGTTAGGCTAGCACAGTGGGTCTTTATTTCCATGTTAACTTTTGGCAGTAAGCGAAATGTCCTTCGTCCTACCTCTGCCTCCGTCCATCTACTTTGCCAATTTTGTAGCAGACTTGTCAAAGTTGTTCGCTTAATATGAGACCAAGGAAGTTTAGTTGGTCTTTCTACTAATATATCTGTGCAGTTGGCTGCCTGCTTGGCCAGTAGGTCAGCGGCTTCATTGCCTTGAATCCCTGTGTGAGCGGGAACCCATTTTAAAGTGGGTCTTTGCGAAATAGGCATTCTCCGAAGCTGTTTCTGAATTCTGTATACCAAAGGACTCTGGCTGTTTTGACTTGCGATAGCCGCCACACTTGATGCCGAATCACTGAGTATGGAGAATTTCTCCTGTTGACATGTGTTCGCGTATCTAATTGCAACACTGATAGCTAGAAGCTCTGCTTGGTATACCGAGTTTTTCGAGCCTAATTTCCTTTTCCACTCGAATGTTACAACTCTATTTTCTAGTCTACAGAAGACGCTGCCCGTGCCGTTCTCAGTTTTGGAGCCATCTGTGAAAAGGTTATTACTGTACCTCAGTATTGGTTGGTCGTTTATACTGATACCGTCAGAGAGATTAAAAGCTGCTGGATGAAAGTTATTGCAGTTGTTTTGCTCCTCGTAGTCCGAGTGGTGATAACTATGACCGCAGAGTGTTGAAGTTTGACCCAGCCTGGTAACCCTTACGATAGCTGCCTCCCTTTCTACTATCAAATCTAGGGGAGGAATTCCTTCCAGATTGTTGTAGGGCTAGTGTTGACGTGGTACGGTAGGCCCTGCATACTTGAAGTAGCTGCTGTCTCTGAATAGAGAGCAGGGATCTTTTGCATATGAGAGGTAAGTTCACCACCCCAGATTGCTGCTCCGTAAGTTATTACTCTTTCTGTAATTGGTTCTATGCCAAATTTTTAGTAACTTGGATGAGATACCCCATTTATGTGAAGTCATGCGTCTCATGGTTGTTGCTTAGGATGCTAATTCGAGTCTTAAGATTCCTGACATGTGGCATCCAAGAAAGTCCTGTTGTCGAGTATTAGCCCAAGATATTTCAACTTGGGGGAAACATTTTATCCGGTATTCCCATGGAGTTTAATGCTTTGGGTTTGCGTCTTAAGCTGCCTGCTCCGTCCTATGAGTAAAGCTTTAGTTTTCTCTGCCGAAATCTGAAGCTTATGTGCTCTGGCCCATTGGGAGAACAGATCAAGACAGTATTGAGATCTCATTTCGAGGTTACTCCTTCCTGCCACAACTAACATAAAATCGTCCGCATAGGTTATGATTCGAGCGATTTCTACGCTCTCAAACTGACGAAATGTCGAGTTTGCCACTATATTCCACAGTGTTGGTCCAAGGCACGACCCCTGTGGGCACCCTCTAAAGACATTTTTGACATAAATGCCGCTGTCTGATGTTACTTGTACACTTCGATCTTGAAGGTACGAGCGAAGGATGGTCATAATGGCTGTTAGGCAGGCCATGTTGTGCAGCAAATTTATTACGTCTGGCCACCAAAGGGAGTCAAAGGCTCCCTTGATGTCAATGGCTATTGCTAGTGAGTGCAAATTGTTATCCTTGTTCTGTTGGATAGTGGCCATTAAGTCTTTTATGGCATGTTCAGTTGAGTTGCCCATTCGGAATCCATATTGGTTGGGATGCAGGGCGTTGTTCCATTGCAGGAAGAAGTCCAGTCTGTAAAGAATTACTCTTTCCAGTACTTTACCGAGCGCTGACAGTAGAGAGACTGGCCTGTAAGATGAAGGTTCTGCCGGAGTTTTGCCTGATTTTAAGAATAACGCCACTTCTGCCAACTTCAGTTTGGAAGGTTTGAGATATGTTTGGAAGGCAACTGCAGCCGTACGGAATACTGGTGAATTAATTGCCCAGTTGCAAAGATTATAGCATGATCTTCCGCAAGGAGTCATAGATGACCTACTTAATTCGATGGCACGCCATGTTCCGCCTTGTATAGTTGTCAGAGGTGACTATACTACTTACTAATTTGTAAACTTTTTCATGGCATAACTTCTTGATAAAGCGATCTTTTGTTCTGAATTTGTAATCATTTGTTTATCTCCTCATATACTACAATATATGTTAGATTTCGTGATAGTAAGTCGTTTCCTTCTGGGTGCATATATTTTTTGTGACAGAGTGTATAATGGGAAATGCATAATTTATGAGTTAAGAGGCGTTGAACATCATTTACAAGTGGATGCTATTGCCTGGTCCGTGCGGAATATTGTGAATACATTGGACAATATCTTTTTATGTTGCCGTAATTAATGAAAAATGAATCTGGACATTTAAGAGAAAACGGTTGTATGCCAAAGTGTTACCAAAAACATGCCAAAGTTTGTATTCCACAGACTATTCAATGAAAATAGATCTTCTTTAATATTTCATAACTCTTAAATCACATGTTTTCAGCTGTACGTACATAAGACATCTTTTCCTTTTTACTTTCTTGTATGAATTAAAAAGGAAGTATTGTAATCGCGAAAAATTTCGGGTGTCATATTTCGTCGAAAATATCCATTTTTGACCGCTATCAAATGCAATTTAACGATGTTTTTGCGTGGCATTTGTACGTAAGTACAGAATAAAGGGCTCTTTTTCCCCCAAAAAATAAAGCTGTTTAAAAATGGATTCTGAAGACAGTTTTTCGTGGCGTCTGTACGTTCGTATGTGTGTACATCCGTATGTATGTATATCGCATAACTCAAAAACGAGTAGCCTCAGGAAGTTGAAATTTTGTATATAGGATTGCTATAACATGCAGATATGCACCACTTATTTTAATTGAAATTATTATATATATATATATATATATATATATATATATATATATATTTCCTAAACAGTATTGATTAATTGATTATATTATCTCCTAAGTTTAATTAAATTAGAATTATTTTAAAAGTGTGAATCCATACTGGTAAGTTATATTTTGAAAGATGTTTTGAAGTAATTTGAAAGCAAAATGTTAATAATGTTTTTAATGGGGACTGGAGTTAAATCATCATGAAGAATAAATTTCAATTATAAAAGGAAAAAATTAAAACATGTAATCATTGTCATTGATCGGAAATTAGTTGACTTTTCAAGGGGAACAAACCAACTCCCGTTCAATGAACAATAATTGATAAAAATACGTAAATACGAAAGTGTTTCGTCTTTACTCGAGTTATAAGTTAAAGCCAAACCGACAATATATATATATATATATAAATTAAACTTAGATAATATAATCAATTAATCAATTTGTTTAGGAAATAAATTATATATATATATGATTTAAAAGAAAAGGACAGTTAAAAAATAGCTAAAGATTTAAAGTTCATCTGATGCAACTAATTCCAAACTTTACTTGTAAACCATGGAAAAACAATTACACTAAATGAAAGTAGTTACATTTTACGCGCAAAAAAATCTACGTAAAATGCAACAAAATGAAAGAAAAAAAAAGTACAAATTTGCACTTAGAAAATAATAAACAAATTTTGTTTAAAAACCTATACAACAAAATCAAATTTTGGTATGCTTAAAAAATCAAAACAAATTAAATACAAAGAAAAATTAAACAAAAGCATTGAAAAAATGTTCAATTCACTTAGCTTTAGATAGAGCTTATCAAGGGAAAAGTACCTAAAATCTCTAACTTAGCAAATGACAAAGGCACGTTTCATCGAACTCAAACATTGACTGAAAAAGGTAATCTATTTATAAAATTATTAACTTAATTCACTTTTTCAGGCTATGTCTCAATAGTTAAGTCCCTTTTTCCGACATATATCCAACATATATATATATATATCCACTTTGTTACTCGGCACAGTGAGCTCAGGTTCTTTATTTTTATATGTTTGTAAATTGTGCACTTTTTGCTTTAAAAATGATTGAATTAGGTTGTTCTTATCTTCCTTTTAAGGTTTTCATGCCTTTAGTTAATCTGCATGTTATAGTTGTAGAATTATCAACAATTTAAAAGTTGTTTAAATGCGGCTAAGCTTTTTTTTTTACCATAGCAGCCATAGTTGTTTGCATTTGAGACTTAGCAGAATAGTGGATTTGTTGCTAATCTAGAGAAACTAAGCTTCGCAACCACAAAGTAACGCCTTCTTTTATTATTGCGAATTAAATTATGCTTAATCCATTCTGGAATTATCATGGAAATATCGTTTATGTTATTAAATTATCCCATATATTGACTCAGCATAGTGTCGACAACAAAGTCAGTTTCTCCGCCTTCAGTGTCTTTTTGCCGAGTGAGACCAAAAGTAAACTTTCAGTTTTGTGCACCGAAGAAATCTGCCTTCTTGACGCTGGATGTTACAGAGACACGGCCAACTTGCGGTGGAAACTAAAACGTAGAATATAATACAAGTCTAACCTGAAAATAAATAGTGCAAGATCGCACTTACGTTACGCTTTACGGTGGACTCGCAGGAATCTAACCGGTGCGATACTAAACTGATAAGGCCAAGAGGCTTACTAGCGTGACCGCGAAATAACAACGAAATGTACGCTTGGCTAGTGAAACAGGCTCTGAATAAACTGAGATATTCACACGTTTAAATAAGCACTTCACTTCACTTTATATCCTGGCAAGAGAATGTGAGGGGAAGTTGAGAAGTCTAGAACAATTATTTTAAGTTTGATACCGTCACACTTAAAATAAATTTGTTATGCAAAATAAGGAAAATCCTGCAGTGTTTCATATTAGAAGAAAATACTGTCGCCAGTCTGTTTTGGACAGAGGAGAATGTTTACGAGTAGCGCATGCGCATAAGTTAAGCAACGCTGAAGCATCTGTGAAAAGCTGTTTATTTTTTTATTTGTTTAATTTCTTTTATACATCGTTTTAAATTTATTATAGTATTTGAATAAAATATATGGAACGATTAGATAATGCTTCAGGTGATATAATGTTTTTGCATTCTGAGTTATAAAATCAATGAGATGTAATGCTGTTGAGTGAATCTAGCGCCAGAATATCGCTATGCTAAATAAATATAGTGAAATTTAAAAAGCGCGTTTGTTTATTTCATTGTGATTTATGCGCTATCGACGATGCAGATTTACTTCAATTCAATAAGTTTAAATGAAGTGCAGGAAAAAATGCGTATAATTTAATACTCCGTACAAGGAAGTCATGTGGTGTACACATCATATTTTTTTTCCTATAGAATGTACCAACTCTTTATTTTGCGACTTTAGTATGGAATACCCTGTATAATGTACCCTAAAAGCGATTACTTGCGAAATTCTATTATGAAATTCTTCTTGAGAATTCTCTAATTTTCAATATTGAGGTTATACTAACATCATAGACTCTTAAATAAAGGTATAAAGAACATTTTGTCTACATTAAAAATATCAAAAAAATTTATACATCTACCGTCTGTAAGTATAGTAAAATTTCAGCGTTTGTTTTTAAAACTGAAAAAAAAAAAAAAAAAAAAAAAAATTATTACATAACGAAAATTCAATAAAATGTTGCTTTGTATCACAAACTTAACTGCTTACTGTATCCACCTCGAATTTTGCGATGTATATCTGACAAACAGATTTTAATTATGTTTCTTTCCACCTATTAAATATTAAGTCATGTGACATAAATTTCAGTAGATTTAGTAAATGTTAAACATAAATTATATAACTTTCTTTTCAAATGTATGAATATAGCTTATTTTTGGGTACAGACGATGAAAAATAAAGCCATCAAAGAATTTCTCAATTGAAGAGTTCAATAAATTAAAAAAAAAAAACTACTTTACCAAGTCTAATCACACCCATATATGGGCGATGTCTCTTCATGTTGATGTATTATTGAAACAGTTGATAACTTCCATTTCGGGGTCACTGTGCTAAAAACACCAGCGTCTACATTAATGTTTAAAGGAATGAATTTGATAAAAGTTGCTAATGTGCAAAACAAGTTATATAAATAGGTAGTTTTACTTTATACTAATATTTGTTTGTAAATTAAATAAAAATTCATTAGGAAAAATTTTTAAATGCAGCAAAATATGCATATTCCCTTAAACGCTGCACGCACTACCTGTTGTGTGTTAACTAATATTATTTTTTTATTGAAGATTCTGTTCTAAATATTTTAATGATTCTTTATTTTCGTGCTTGCCGTTTCTTGTAGTTTCTTTATAAATAGATATACAGATATACTCATTCTTGAATTTTATCCTGAATATACTGTCGTTCTTGAATATACTGGGAATTATTTCTAAATATACTGCAATTCATTTCTCAGTACTCATTCAGAATATGCTTATAATCATTCCTGAATATACTGTAATTCTTGAATTATACTGTCAATATTCGTTCCTGAATTTTATTCTTCTTGAAAGCACTTAGTTACTTTATTTCGATTTTCTTACGTAGTAAGGATGTGCGACTGCCACAACAGATGCAGAGAGCGATGGCTGCTGAAGCAGAAGCAGCTAGGGAAGCCCGAGCTAAGGTATGTTAAATTCTGACTTCCAAAATTGCTTCATCTGGTACAACAAGATATATCTGTTTACAGTAATTCTAAACTTGAAATTTTTTCTTTCTTAATAATTTTAAATTGAAAATTTAATAGTAGCGTTATATTAATTGTGTAATTCTATTAATATATCAGGAAGCTAACATGTGCACTAAATTTAATAGCTCCTACAAGTCATAAGATTTTTAAACCCATCAGAAGTGATATTCAGCAGGTAAAGGTGAACTTTCTTTTAAAGACACGCTATAACCCACTGAGTAAATAAATAACTGAAAGTAATGCAAATTCAAGGTGTATTCTTAATTATATGGAGGGGAACTTTGGTAATGCGACTTGTTATTAGCTCAAAGGGACAATTTGTCCAGAAAGACTATTCATTTCGTTCTGGCATTTTGCGTTGATTCACTCTAAACGGCGAATCATTTTTTAAATTGTTGCCACCAAATATTAAAGCCTTGTATTATATTTAAAGAAATTAAATTATTCTTTTTAGTCCAAAGGGGCAATTCTCGCATTGTGATAAAACAACGGTACCTAGAGCCATCAAAATTTGAATAACGTAATCTTCCATAGAATATGGGCATGTGGAAGCCCTAATTTGAATTTCAAATTTGTTTTATTATCGATTTCAGATTTATTTGTTTTATTATCGATTGTGTAACACTTCACCAAATTTTTTATTAACAAACTAAACAATTTCAAAGCGAGCCATGGCAACACTGTACGGCCGGGGGGGGAACATTTTTATCTCCAGACTCTGTATCGGAAATTCTAAAGATATGCTCATTTTAAAATTAATTTGCGATACTGCTGTTGAATTGAAAGCTTCAGATAGTTGCGGGATCCGGACGGTACCTGACTACTCTATGTAAGCCGTCTGGGTGTCCGGACTTGCTCTCACCTGTCACCTGTTGAATTGAATTTTATGGTTTAAGTGCGAAGAACATGATATTTAATAACTAAAGGTAACACACAAAACATTATGGTAACACACAAGAACTATGGTTCTCTACAGTAGGGGAATGACCAACAAGTCGATTGCGAAACAATTTTTAGTCGATCACTGCCGACAAGAGATGATTTGAACTCACAAACGCGTTCACGAAGAAACGTTAAGGTCATGAAGACTTTTGCATCCTTCCCTATTTGATTCTCATATTCAGAATCATATTGTATGTTGTATGTTGGTAACACAGTGCATTTAATACACATGCAATGTCCCCAGCGCATATGCAATGTATTATGACTTGCAGCCACTGCTAGATATATGAAACTTGTTAAAAAGTTTATGTAACACACACACACACACATATATATATATATATATATACACAAAGACTTTTATAAATGAAATACAATACTGTTTCTCTGAATGCTGCGGAGTTTTATAATTCTGTCTTTAAAAATATCACAAAGTCCTTATTAGGGTCCTTCGCAAACTATTATTATTTGCTGCCGATGTACAAAATATGTGGTGTTAAAATTAGCTTTTAATAATTAATACGTCACATGAAAGATAAATCCCATGATAATGTAATGTAACTTAGCATCCTGCGAGAACTAGGACTGCCCTATACAGTTTTAACGGAAAAATATTTTCCAAATAACTTCTGGTGGACAAATTCTAATCTTTAAGAGGAATCTAATTCCACAAAATTAGTTTTATCTTATTTACCTATATTTTATTTTGATGGTTCATCGTTCTTTGTGTATTAGTCATAACCAAGTAATGTGTGTTAAAATGCAATAATACACCCACATCATAGCCTTCTGGATTAAAAAGTTAAGTTAAATGAGAAATTAGATATCATAATATTAATTGCCTAAATTAATAGTGGCATAAAATAGGTAAAATGGATTTCCTTTTAATAGGTAATTGCAGCAGAGGGCGAGCAGAAAGCTTCAAGAGCACTCAAAGAAGCATCTGATATCATATCAGACTCGCCTGGCGCTTTGCAACTAAGATATTTGCAGACCCTAACATCCATTGCAGCTGAGAAGAACTCTACGGTTGTGTTTCCCTTACCCATGGAATTGCTAAGAGGATTAGGAGTGAAATAATGCGCACCACACAGAAAAAATTCATTAAAATGTTTTCGTAATTTTTTGTAGCAATTTAAAAAGTGTGTTTAATGCTTTTATATTTTGTATTTGAGATTATAAAATTAGTTTATATATGTAACTTTTGGCATCTTTTAGACATTAGCATTTGTTCCTAAAGTTTTTCTTTTTTTTGCACTATAGAAAAACATAAGTTGTTGCTGCTTTTGAATGAGCATTTGTTCCTAAAGCTGCTTTTTGTACTATAGAAAAACATAGGTCGTTGCTGTTTTTGAATGAATATGTGATAGATGTGTCTTATGTTTTATACATCGCCTACATCACGTCAGAAATTCGAGTGTGCTCACGAACTGTTTTGAGAAAAATCAGTTAAAAGTTTGACTTAAGGGAAAAATCTAGTCATGACATCTGAACAGAATTTTTTTTACAAATATCTATTTTTTAGCATAGTTCAAAACATATAGAAAGAGTTGACAGTTTTGAAAATACATTTAGGTGAAAACTAAAGGCTCAGATTCGTCATTTGTGGCATGGACAGACAAATATATGTATTCATTAATCATTTTTGTAAAACTATATGTGCCTTTTGTATCCTCACACTTTTAATCATTCACCAAAGATTATAAATAAACTATCCGTGTTAATCATTTTATGTTTGATTATTACACTGAATACTGATAATTTTATTTTTAAACCCGTTAGAAACAGATAAAAAAAAAACATTACGTTTATGATTTCGTATTTATTTGTAAACAGTTTCGAATCGATAGGTTGGATTACTTTATTTAGTTTTGGACATATATATATAATTAAAAATTAGACATCCGAATCTTCAAATCTCACTAATCTTAAGAAATTTGAAACTTCGAGTTGTTTTCCATTATTTTAATCCTAACATAGAAAAGTTAAATCTTTTAACTCGTAACTTTGGAAATGATTGATTATTTTTATGTCCTTTTGAAGCGCTTTTAGGAAAAAAGAATAGGAAGTTGCAATTTCTTTGGACCTTAATCGCCAGCATCACTTAAAGGCAGACTTCTAGAGAGAAATACAGGTTCCATATTTGGTATTTACCTGTGTGAACTCCTGAATAATTCTCGCTCCTCTACACTAGCTGTGATCAAAAAAATCCTGGGAAAATTACATACTTCTCAAATTATATTGATAAAAGGAACTCCCAAGATTTTTATTATTTTTTAATTAATATTTATGAAATTTCACTTTTATTTTTAATGAATGTGAATGTATGTTTTAAAAATTTTGTTATTAATTTTTTATTAAAAGCAGATTTCAACATTTGCTTTGATTAAGAACTGTTAACATTAAATTTTGTTCCATCTCTAATACGTATAAGATGCATAAAAAGTCACAAGACAAATTCATAAAAAGTTATTTTAATGTAAATCTATGATTTTTTTACGATTAAAACGTCCTTAAAATTCTTACCATGAATTCAGATTTGTTTTGTCGACAAAATAATTTTATTTCAAAATTTTGTTGATGGGCGGTGATGTACAGAACTGCCATTCTTAGACTTCGAGTAACATTTAATAAAAGAAGCTGAATCAAATACCACACTAGTGCTTCATTACACAGTCTTTTATGTTACAAAGTGTTTAGTGTGTCCTCCAGCATAATAACATTTTGAAAGTGTGTATCTCATCATTTGCCGGTGCACTGAGCATATCTGTGTTTATGGTGCCGACTTCACAATCTATGACATCTTCTTCATTGTTCGAGAGATAATGGGCCGTTGGTATATAAGGTATTTCTTCCGCCTTCTTGGCATGCCTTCGTGGTGTGGTGGTCTGGACGCTCGGCGCGTAATTGAGAAGTCCGTGGTTCGATTCCCGGCGAAGGCGTTGCATATTTTTCATCTTTCGTGCTTCCTAATGTCTGTATGGTGTAGCCCGAATAGGGGTGTTGAATGATGATTCTCCTCACCCAGGATTTGGCGATTGGATCCCCTATAAACCGCAGTCGTCGTTAAAAAGGGGGGGTGTATATAAGGTATTTCTCTCGCCTTCTTGGCATGCCTTCGTGGTGTGGTGGTCTGCACGCTCGGCGCGTATTTGAGAAGTCCGTGGTTCGATTCCCGGCGATGGCGTTTGCTCATTTATCATCTCTCCGGCTTTTCCAATTAACCTAATGTCTCGACAAGTGTACATTCGGAATTTCAAATAACCCAAATTAAAAGTCCATAGGCGTCAAATCCATCAATCGAGAAAGCTAGCTGGTAGGACATGAAAGACTAATCCGTCTCTCAGAACACAACTTTTTAAAGAACTGCTTCAGGAGGATAATGCAGGAGGTGCACCATTTTATATAAATGTGGTAGTTCCTACGAGATTTCATTATGGCAAACTTAGTATATACTTCTCAGCATTTTCAGATGGTGCTCTCTTCTTACGTATTGCTTTTTCCACACACTTCTTGCACATGACTGTTCAAAAAATCTTAGCCAATGTTGACGGATACCCTGAAACCGTAACACACAATGACTGGCGACCAGTGCAACGGCTGTTTTATGCATGCGCAGGGATTATCGTTTATCCGTATAGGATCCGTACAGGAGTACTAACACTATGTAATAAAAAAGGAGTTTTATTTTTCCGAAGAATGTTCAAAATCCATTGTGGATCATCAGCAACTTTCTTTCAGTGCGATTTATTTTTTCAGTGAAATTTAAGTGTATATTCCTTTCCCTTTCTGATATCATTTGCTTGAAGGTGACACAGCAACTATAGCTTGTAGAGATTTAGATGCAAGATCTGCAACGGTGATGAATTTTGTAGACGTATGAATCGTGATGAGATTTGTAATTTATTGTTGTTGAAAACTGCTAATACTGCTGGCTTGGCTTGTTACTCCTTGAGTTTAAGTTGTCACACAATTTACATTCGCCACACGATGGTCTGTCACTACGACTTTGATCAGTAACAGTCCGAGTTTTCTCGAAATCTCGGACACTAATTGTTTATTTTGCTACAATTATTAAGCCTTGCCATGCTTCCGTTTGTGCATGAAACTATCGGAAAAGCCGAAACAGCTGATTTCACATTTAGATAGAATAATTTTACCTGTAACGCCTTATCAACAAAATTCAGCTTATGATAATTCATCATTAAAGATTATGAACGTAAACAACTACAAAAATTAAATTCTGCCAAACGTATAACTTCTGCAAGAATAATTTGATTTTCACAACTATGCTTCGTATGGTGCAACACCATATATTGGTAGGAATTTCAACTTTTTGAATTTCGTCGCAAACTGAATCCTTCTATGATAACTATTATATTTTATGAATTTTTAAGAATTTAAACAAGTTATAGTGCATCCTATATACACACACCGTGTCCACAAAAGTCCTTTCCTGGTCGCAAACTTTGGTCGGAGAGATGTTCTACTGGTCCTTATGTTTATATTCTAGAAATTGTAATACTCAGTATTTTAAAAAAGAAAAGGTTTGACTCCCGTAGACAAAAATTGGCATAAATATTTAATATTAAAAAATCGGGTATCATATTTAGGGACTGTACATAAGCTGAAGAGCGAAATGTTTGCATGTCAGCATAACAATAAATAAACTATCAGTTTAAAAAAAGGCTTCTGATGTAGAGATTAAGTATCGAACTTTGTAAGCACATTATTAGTAATCTTATAAAATTCGTGTTTTAGAAAAAATCTGGTCGGTTTCAATATTTGCACGCAACCAACTCGTAATACAGTTTGCATTAGTTAAAAATTAAAAATATTTGTAGTTAAAGGCCATTTTTGTATGATTGCCAGATTATGATTTTAAAGTAATAAAACTTGATTAGAATATTGACCGTGAAAATTTATAAATTACTTGTGTGAAAATTCTTTCAGCATACCAAGTGTAGTAAAATTATAAATTAAAGATACTAGTAAATCACAGCACAATATTATTAAATGGCACTAAAGAGTAAAAAAATTGACCTCGAATTAATCTAATTGATTTATTAACTGGCCGCATATTTCGTAAGTGCACATCAGTATCGCCACCGAGGAAGTTGCTTCAAGAATGGACCAATGGGCTTCCAGTAATATTTCTCTCATTTCACATGACCTTTCCCGCGCTTTAAGCAAGACTGTTGAAAATGTTTTGCCACGTCTCTACAAAATAATTAAAGCATCATGAATTTCTTTCGAAAAATTTCAGAGCGAAATAAGATAAAATATAAGCATAATTGTATATGTAAACAGTAGGAGTCTTAGCTTTTTTAATTGCTGTCTAGAAAAAGATGTTTTACAATGCACAGTTTTATCTGCGAATTATTTCTCTTAATCCGAAGGTATAAGTAAATGTATAATTTTCGAGACTAATTGTATCTTGAGTCATTGTCTCGATATAAAGAACGATAATATGCCACGAACAGTAACTCGAATATCAGTGCGTAGTAGGTTTCGTGAAAGTAAAATGTATGACCAGATCAGATTTAGACTTAATAAAGCCCTAAGCTATTTGAGATATGGGGTTCTTTATAAACCTGTTATAATATATTTTAATACTATATATACTATATTTTAACTTTTGGGGGGTACCTATAGCTAAGTTATAGCTTGTGTAGCTTATACTTAAATCCGACCCTGTGTATGACGATTAAATATATTTATAAAATTAAAGCAGTTTGAGATTTTCTACTAAAATGATATCAGCATTTATGCTCCATACATGTATAACCGCAAAACAAATACAAAATAAAACGTGAACAACGGCATGCGCTCATGTGCACAGTTTCAAAGATTTAGCAAGCAATAGAAGCGTATTGGTTCATTTTTGAAAACTCTCCCTCAGTGGCGATACTGATGCGCACTTGTGAAATATGCTAACCGGCACTTCAAGGCAAAATGAATATAACGTGGAATATCGGAAATTTTGAAATTAAACATCTCGGTAACTTTTTTGTCGTATGGAAGTCAAACTTTTTGTGTTTTATTTTTTATAATGAATGCAAATTTTCTTAAATATCGGATCGGAAGAACGTATAAAAAGCTAATTATTGTAATTTTAACAAAACTGATTTCTTTAAATTTAAAAATGAAAAAAACATGATTATCTGCGTCATTTAGAACATTTTTCATAAATGGAAGTATATGTCTATGGTCAATGTTTGCGAAAATAAAAGTCGATAAGCACTTGTGGACACTGGACATATATCACAATCAACTTCAGTAGATAATCTAATACTTTTTATATGAAAAAAAATTAGTTTTCACTCGCATAAATTGTAGCCAGCTGTTCCTCAGATTAAGATTATCATCAACGTCTATATCAAAAATATCCAGCATAATGTTTGACGTGTATGCTTATCTTTTTATCTTTCTGTTCTCTTTTGATAAAGCACAAATTGGTGCATCTTGAAGTCTGACATCCCTTAAGCTCTGACCAGTTAGTTGCAAGTAAAATATTTCTTTTCTACTTCACACCGTTGTTATAAGTTAATCTACAGTGCTAGTATTCGGAATAGCTTATCTTTTCAAATCTTTGTAAAGAACGGATTCAAGATTTTACCCGTTTTGCATGCCTCAGTATTTTTCGTTATTTAAAAAAAGCTGTTGCTCTTTCCTTAATTACTGATTCTTTGGAAATTCTTTAGTATTCTGTTATACTCAACTAGTATATTTTAAAATATAAATTGAAAATTAAAATTTACAATTAACATAAATTGAAAATTAAATATATTTCTAGTTTGATGAATTTTTCCAGTGATGGTTAGATTGTAAATCTAAAGTAAAAAACAACTAAACAAAATTATAAATTATACAATCATACACATTATTTAATTGCAAAAGAATATCATTGAATGATATTTAAGGAAGAAATTTAATCTCAAATTATTCTAATTTGTTTATTAACTAACTCCTGAAGGCAATTTGAAAAAGGACATCAAATATCGACATAAAATCATTTGGAATTAAATATCAATCAGTTTTTGTCATTCAGGAATCAAATGTTGTGAGTAATTTTTATAATGAGCGTAACAGTTAAATAAAAGTAGTCGGATTGTGCCCTTTTTGTACAAAAAAGGTTTCTTTAAATTTAAAAATACTAAAATCATCATACCACTTTTTCTAAACTTGATATGGACGTAAATTTACTAAATTATGAAAAGTGAGAAAACAATTATTATTCATAACATAAACCTGAAATGATTGCTTACTCTTCACATAATACTTTTGCAAGTTAAAATACGAAAAGATGCGTCTCAAAAAAACATCACATTTATTTACATTGTGAGTATCTTAAAACCATGTAAGATTCTCATCGAAAATAAGACAAACGTAAACACATAAATGCATGGCAGTGATATTCTTGTCTGAGAAAACAAATAAGAACTTTACAGCATTATGAACACAGCAAAATTAATAAATCAACATAAATAAAATAATAAAGTATGAAGGAAGGACAAGCAAAATTCAGCATTTACTAATATATTCTGCAGTAGGATAAAACTATATCCTAAGACTAAGAATAATTCTCAATACAATTTTGAACAAATGAATAGTTCCTTTCCTAGCTTAAGGACCTAATTTATAATTTTCAATAAAGTTACTTGATTGTAAGAAAATCATAAAAACCGTATTCCACAGGAATATTAACACTATCTTTCTTTTCCCTTTCCCGAATTATCTATAGAAACAACGTTAAAAGTCTGTATAGCATTCCATCTTATCCATACCGAAGTGCACGAAATACAATAAAAATTGAAATAGGTTTTATGTAATTTGAGATCCTATGTAAGCAGATTGGTTCCGAAATGGAAAATCCTTGCTGCATGGATTGTAATTAATATGCTTGTCTTGCAGATCTTCCGTAGCCTGGCTTCATTGGCTTTCATTAACTGAAGCACAACGGTCCTACTTCGAAACCAAAGGCTTGATCTGTGGACCCATAGTCCTTTGGTAAAAAGTCAACCAATGGCAGCCGATTCATTTTTGTCGTCCGGATTTCAAATATTGATTTGCTCGCTTCTTTTTTCATCTGAAAATATAAAAATAACGAACTGAGTGCACGGCATAAAAGTGTATTTGAAGGTATGATTTATATTACTTTCAGAGTGCATACGCATTAATTTTATTATTAGTACTATCATCGTATTTCTTATGCTGAAATATAAATTTTACCTAGAAGCTATTAGTAAAAAACTATACTAAGCTTCCTCTTCTTTCAGTTCTAGAAGCGAAATCCCTAGCTATGTAATTGAATAGTCTCACACAAAATAGGGAATAGTCACACACTATTAAATAGTCTCACACAAAACTGAATGAAATGAAATAACATCTCAGAGAATATTTAGCACATTCGCTTTTGATTTGTGCCTTTGCGGAAGGAATCTTTCAAGGTTTCTTTATGCGTCATCCATATGTATATATGTACATGTTTATCTTAGGTGAACTCAGTCACAATGCTGACTCTGTAATAGACGTGTTGTGTTGCTGAAACGAAATATACAGAAGGTAACTTTTACGCTGAAAATACTTAACGTTCCTCAGAAAGCAAACTAAGGAGCAGAGAAGTATGTTTCGTGAGGTGCATTCTGCCAGACATAGATACCTCAGAAAGGCTGTTTTCTTCTCAGTTTCAACTGTTCTAGAAAGTTTTTTAAAAGATCATTCCCTAAACATTGCCTATCAGATCATGATAAATAGACATCTACAAGCTGGCATAAATGATGCTGTGGGATATCAAATATGCTTTAAGTAACATACAGGAGATCGATTATTATCTGGATGGTTTTAGTACCAACAACGTTACAAGTCACTGAAATTACTACATTGTGGAAAAAAAACGCTAACATTATCCTTTATGTGGTTGTTGTGAGTTTTTTTTTCTAATTGTGCAAGTATCTCTCTCGTATTCAGTAATTGGAGCTCATGTCGTATAAAATGTGCAGTAAGTTTTTAACCGATGAAATGCAAGAAAATTATTCTTGTAAGCTGAATGAATCTGAATATTTTCGGAGAGTTCTAAAATATTTTATTTATAAATGTTAAATAGTCCATGATTCCGTGTTAAATATTTGTCATGGCGCACAAAGAAAAGATTAATTGCTGTAATAACTGTGATGTAATAATTATAAATGTTTAGAAGTTTACTACCTCTTTGTAACTATTCAAATTCATTTTAATATCTCCAAGTGGATCAGCTGCTCTTTCGGTGTAGTAAAGTAAAGCTTATTTTAATGCAATCGAACTTATTAAGATTAGACAAAACTAATTACTTCGAAAAAATTTGGAGCATTAGAAAACTCGAAATAACAAGGCTATCGGCACACTGCGCTTAAAAATATTTAGATCTTACATGAAAACGCATCTAAACTTACATTTAAAAAAGGACAGAAAAAACTATTACAATAAAATTATAATGATTAAAATTATTTAAATATTGTAATACGAACCCCGAAATTACTTAACCAGTAGGACCGATGAAACGGGCGTAAGTCGAAGGTCTAATGTTGCATATAAAAACATGAATTTTTTTTTAAAAAAGAACGACTAAAAACCACTTGCTTAGAATTAAGGTATGTAATAATGTAGGTACTTCCCTTCCAAATCAAAATAAAATAGTATTTAAATAAATGTGCTATATAAAACGAAGTTATTTCGATGCCAGAGGCTTCATAGAATTTTACAAAAATTCCTTTTATGATTCAGTGTTCTTTATTAATGCATGAAATTTCTCATACCGAGCTAAATTTGTTTTTCAGTTTTTGCCTTGTAGCCATATCGTGTTCCTAATTAGGGTCTATCTTTTCTCAAATTAGTAAACCTTTTCCAAGTGCAGAGACCTTCTGTCAAACTTATAATTTGTCATGTATTTTTCTGTTGGATCTGAGGTCCGCTTCTTCACTAGCAATTGACTGTCAACTTTTTGCACGAGTCCAAGAGCTCACTAACTTCATAACTATGAATTATAATCGAAATCCCTGATAAGACTAATAACTTCTTGTATTACATAAGTGATTTGATCAGTTTTCGGCATTGCTTCCATTTCGCTTTTGAAAACAAATAGACGAATTTTCTTCCAAACATCATTCAAGGTTTTAATCGGCGGCGTATTTTATTGCAAGATTCTTCAGCGGTTCTTATGAAATCTAAAATACAGAATTGATTTACAGAATCCAAAAATCTTTAACGGATACCGAATTGTTTTTGATTTATAGATTTACTCAGATGTGCCAACAACCACCTCGTATAACAAGCTTTAAATATTTTGATCACCTCTTGCTCCATCATAGAAGCAAGCTGATTGTGTTTAGAGCCAGAAAAAATAAATAAAATAAATTTCACACGGAATCGGATGCATTATCAATAAGGATCATAACGTTAAACGAAATTTGTGTGCTCTGACAAAAGCATTCGATTTCTGGTTTGATCAAATAAAGGTCCTCGATAGCTTCTGGTTTTTATTTAGTTTGTGTAAGTGGGGGGTATATGAGAAATTTTGAAACACAAGTAAAATAGAAAATTTCAATTTTTTTAAAATGTCTTATTTATATAAAAAAAAAATGCTACGAAAACTGATAGTAGAACTAAGTCCTTCGGTTCTAATGAAGAATTAGACAGCTTATGTCCGCTTGAAAGCAATAAGGAAAAGAAATAATTTCTTTTTTACTTTCACTGGATTACACTTTTCTTTCAATTGCATAAATATATAAAAGCATTAATGTGAAGAGCTTTTAAAAACGTCAATTTGAGTTCTTAAAGAAAATATGTTAAATAGTTCGATACACAGAATAAAACTGCTAAATGTGAAATACAGTTGAGTTTTATTTTATTTCAAATAAAAATACAATTGACATTCTTAAATTCATTTTCCTCAAGATGCATTTCTAAATATTTGTTGCTTTTAGAGAACGGCTAAGGTATGGAGTTAAATATCATTTTAAGCTATGTGGATTTCTGAAGATATATATATATATATATATTTTGAAGAGGGAAATAAATATTATATATATATATATGTGTTGTGTGTGTGTATGTATAGCTAACTTTAAATTATAATTTAAATTTACATATTTTTTTATCTTATATATTTATTCTCCCCCTTTCAAAGAGAAAAATCTTATATCCAAATTAAAAAATTGAGGAACTATAGCTAATTTAAATTATAATACTGATTTATATATTTTTATCTTGCACAAAACACGCGTATATACATAGTATATATATGTAAGAATATGTAAAGAATATGTAAAAAGATTAAATTAGCAGCGAAAATTAATTCCCTTCTGTATTCTAAAAATAGTAACTTCTATTTGCACTGCGTCATTTCGAGAAAACTCTCTCATACGACTCTTACATAATTCTGATGATGTAAATGGCAGTAAAACTCGAGCAGCCAATAGTAATTTTACAGCAATATTAACTATCCAATCTATGCTTTGAGAACCAAAACTAATTCAGTTTGACTTAAGAGTTCATCTTGAACATTACGCAATTTCTTTCTACGCTTTGCCTTAACTGGACTGCAGTCTGTCTGCTTCTTTTTTGCTGCAATTCTATCAAAAATGTAAGCCCTTTGGAACAGGCACATTCAATGTGCCGACTTGTGTGGTTGCCGCAACATGTTGCTGAAAATAAAACTGAAGATTTAATCTGCATTCGCCTCCAATTTCCTCGTCATTATGGTTCAACACCTCTATGAAATCAAAATTCCTGCTCCTGAATATATTACACACACATATATATCGTTGAAATACAGTAATGAAAGAACAGGATTTTTTTTTTTGGGGGGGGCAAGAAAAAAAAATAGAGCTTTGGAAAGATCGACAGTTAGACGCCATCAAAATTCCTCACTTTGTTTTTATTACACACACACACACATATATACATGTGTGTGTGTGAAAAGTGTGAAAATAAATTGGTTTTATATAATTTCTTTTTTCATTTAGATTTATATGATGCGTTTATGTATTGCAAGAAATAACAAATACGCAAGCAAAGGAAATACGCTTCTTCTTTTTGAAACATTCAAGCATGAGAAAGCTATTCTGTTTTTGCTCACCTTACATCCATCTAAGAGAACTAATGGCTTGACGCCTCTGGGTGAAAATTCTTGCCCGTTTTCTCCCAGAATCCTTATTGCCAGATCATAATTTTCTGCTTGTTGATTAAACCATCCAATAGAATTTGTACAAGAGTAAGTAAAGTTCTGGTGGGCTTCTTGGCTGAGTAATCGCAGGAACGTTAGCTGTATTGGCCCGACTTCTTCATACGTTATCTAAAATGAGAAATATTTAATCACTTTTCATCAATGGAGTATTATTGTAAACATTTAATATACATAAAACCTTGTAGTAAAAATGCTGTAAATTGGATCTATTAGATTGAAAGTATCGTTGTGTATTGAATTTACTTATTTTTATTATCACCACCACCTTTACGCATTTTTAGATATTGAGACTCAAACTGCTTGACACTATTTAAGGAATATTACCTGTAATTGTACGTACAGGTAGAAGCTAGGCCAACACATTTATAGTACCGGGAGTGATTGAGGTATTGCGGAACCTAGCTAACTGTTAAGCTTTGCACCGAATTTTGAAAAAGCATACGCCGGGAAGCGGTCAGAGAGTCTTTCATTCCTCTTTCCCTAATATCAACTCCTCAAGAGGACTTTCGGCTCGCCGTATATTTTAAGTGCCTCCTTTCCACACAGACACTATACAATTTGCGATATGTCTTCTAACTTGTCAACACCAAACCGTGAAAAATAAAAACAAAAAAATCCATTCTCACCATAAAATTTATTAACTATTCAGGAAAAACAATTATGTCTATTTTCAATCATTACTAAAGTATAAATGTGCATATTTCATATTTTCATAGGATGGCTAAACTCAAATATGTTAAGAGGTTGTTTTTTGTGTAATTAAATAGTACATGTAATGTATAGTATAATAACACAGCAAGTATTAATATTATAAGAAGAAAAATAGATAACACCTAAAACATAAAATTAAATCACAGTGCTCCCGACCAACCAACTAGTGCATTTCAAATACTTTACTAATTTAAATCCTGCAAAATCCATACACTGCGAAAACTGCGGATTAACTATTCATAAAAATATTGAGCTTACGAATAAGATTTAACACACTAAAACTGAGAAGTTTAAAAACAAAATGCGACGTGAAGAGTATGTCGCTGAAACTTTAAAAAAAAAAAAAAAAAAAAAAAAAAAACCAACTAAAACCTAAAATCAGTCAAGTCACAAATTATAAGTAAAAAATTAAAATTCCATTCTGTTTACACGTCATTTCATTGAATTATACTATTTAAGATAAAATTCTTATCCGAGTAACGAGTTTATAACTGAGCTTACACCCAGGATTCGGTGAATTAGGTAAAATATGAAGCATCAAATTAACCAATGAATATATTTTATCCATTAAGTTAAGAATTTTCTGAAAGGGAATCTGATATAGCTATTATTTATTGAAATTAATTACGTATCATTGGAGTTGTCATAAAAATTTTTTAATCAATTAGACTACCAATTAGTAACATTAAGTGGTCTTCAGTCATGTTAACAAAAAGAATCACGAATTCCTTTTACAAAATGAAAACCAAACTTTCAGCAAATTCTCTTCCTAGAAAAGTTTAAGAAATATAGATGATTCACATGATTTTATTCAGGGATTTAATTTCATAATAGTTATTTATAGAAGATTTGGAATGAATTAGAGACCAATGAGTTACGATTTTAATTTGCAACTTTAAATATTTAATTTATTGAATAACACCAACTTTTAGTTTTGTATATCATTTAATGTTTTATATCTTTATGTTAAAATTATAAGAGTAGGCACAAAACCTTATTCTAATGGGAAAAGAGAGTTATCAGCCAAATATCTCACAGCAAGTGATTCGCACAACGAGCAAAACAAAATGTGAAACAATGACTCCCTTAATGAGCGATGTTTCTCTGAAAGAGTGATAAAGACTTCATGACGTGACATGACGAAGGATCGTATGTGAGTCTCGGTTATCATGTAGCTAGCATCATACCGTAGCTTGTGAAAGTTGTATTCAGGCACATTATTTCGTATTTTTAGTACAAAGCTTAAGCATGCTTACATAATTGTCCTCAAAGAAAATGTCGCAAGAACAGGGTAAAAGAAGAAAAGCCACAGCAGAATTCAAACGCAAAATCACTGAAAAGGCAGAATGATGCATAAGAGTGGTTGACCTAACATGCAAATGTAATCGGTCGACATCAACAGTTTGCACTATCTCAAAAACAAGGTAAAGGTTGAAGAGATTGATGCTTCAAAGGGTTGGTTGACCTAACATGCAAATGTAATCGGTCGACATCAACAGTTTGCACTATCTCAAAAACAAGGTAAAGGTTGAAGAGATTGATGCTTCAAAGGGTGTCACAAGTGTTTTTACGCAATGGCCAAATATTCTTGACGTTGTTGAAAGATTGATTCTCGTATGAATCAACAAGAAGCAAATGCATGGCTATACTATTAACGAAAACATAATATGCAAGAAGGCGAAACTAATTTTTTGTAGATTGATTTTTTGTAGACGCCAGGATCAATGGACGAAGAAGCAGCATTCAAAGCAAGCCGGGATGGTTCGGAAAGTTTAAGGAAAAACCGGCATCCATAGCGTTGTGAGAAACTCATCGGCGTAATTCAATAAGCTTAGGAATTCTGAAAGTTATCTGCCGGAGCAGAGTTTTATTTGTGATGAAACGTGTATGTTATTACAGCACAAGAGAAGGCGTTAATGGTCCACAAGGCAATGAAAGGCCGTCTTATGCTGTTGTTTTGTAAAAATGAAAGTGGCGATTTGAAAATTAAACCGCTGCTTGTTTACCATTCGGGCAATCCGCAAGCCTTCAAGAAGTATAAAATTCAGAACAGCTGGCTAAATGACTCATGGAGGTTCAACAATAAGGCTTGGGTGACACGGTTTTGTATATTGGATAAATGAAGTGTTTGCACATCCTCCAAGACTAGAAGATGATATTCTTGAAGGATTTAAATTAATGAATATCTAGTTATTACCTCCCGATAACGCCCACCAGCGGCCGAGCGGTAAAGTCGCTGAACACTGGTAGTTCGGTCCGAGGTTCGAATCCCGCGAACAGGCTGGCTGCATGGGCGTTTTTCGTGGTTTTCCCCCATGTGTAACGTGTATACGAGCCAGTTTCCCTTAGAAAGTCCTCCACGAAGGCATCCCTCCCCTTAGGCAGATAGCCCTCGAGGCTTCGCCATAATCACACACACACACACACCTCCCGATAACACACCTTTACAGCCCACAGACCAGGACTTCATTTCAAATTTCATAAAGCTGTATACAAAAACACTCATCGAGCGTTGTTTTTAGGTAACTAAAGGAAATAATTTCACTCTCAGAGAGAGTTTTGGGAAAACCACTTTCACATCGTTGCCTGCCTCAAGACGATCGAAAAGGCATGAGAGTATCAGCAAAAGAACCTTTATTTCTTTATGGAAGAAGATTTAGCCCGACAGCTTGAGCAATTGCTAGTAGTAGAGCCTGTAATCGACGAGATTGCGTCTGTGATCAAGATTATAGTGCTGTAGGAGGATAGCAAAGACATCCATGAATTAATGGAAGAACATAGTGAGGAGCTGAACACAGAAGAGCATGTGAATCTGCATTTTGTGTTACAGGAACTTTTTTGGAGGATATTTCGCCAGGGGAGGAGGACGAAGTTGTGGGGAGGCTGATAAAAACAGCCTCAGCAAAGGACGGAAATGTTGAAAGCATTGGAAACTGTTGCATCGTAAGTTGAGAAGCGTCACCCTTAATAAGGCAGTAGCTATGTGCGCTACAAATTTATTGCATCGTACAAACGAAATGATCGCATGTTAACATAGGGCAAAAACATGAAGTATACGGCAAAAACGGTTCATGTCTTTAGGCATTTCTTGCAAAAATATCTTTAGTTATTTGTTGTTTAGGCATTTGTTGTTCTCTTTCTTGTAAAGAAGGTTGTATTATAAATAATAAATTACATTATTATAAATTTGTTTGAGTATTATTTTTCGGAATGGAACGCATCACCCTAATTTACATTGGTTCCTGTGGAAAAAAAAATTGTTTCTCTTAAAGAGTGTTTTGCATTACGAGTAAGATTCGGGAACCAATTATTCTCGTTAGGCGAGTTTCCAGAATTATTTAAATACCTCTAATTGTTTCTGGATAATGAAAAAAATATCTAGGGGAACTTATCAGAAACTGAATAGTGAAGTGCCTACAAAAACCAGCATACTTGCAGAAAAAGAAATATTTTCAAGTTTCAGAATAATTTTCAGCTTACCTTAAAACCACCTCGAAGTGAACTAAACCAAACTTCCTCTTTCTCGTTGTCTACTTTCTTCCATTGAACATCCGGATGCTGAAAATAAAATTCTATTAGAACAATTTTATTCAGCGTTAGTCTTAAATTTTTTGCCAATATTTTGAATGAAAATCTCAAAACCATGATCCTTACTACACAGAAATACTTAAAATACACTTTTTTGTGCTAAAACACGAATCTATATTTTCATCTCCCGACGATGTGCAACCGTAGAATTAGTATAACTGTATGGTGACACGCAGCTAACGTTTTATAATGCAGTAATAACACATCAAGATTTTAATAATATAAGTACCCGCGTTTTACTAAGATTCTCTTCTCACTGTTTCTATTTTACGATAAAATATGGGTTAATATTAGTTCTTCCTTACAGGAGGAAACCCGATGACAGTTTCATTTTTCAAAAAAAGAACGAAAAGGAGATAGCTTATAATAATTACCAAAACTTAGACATTCATTGTAAAAGAGATGTAAGTTTGTATCATTTTTCTAATGCCTAGAATGAACTGTATGTTGAAACAAAATGGGTGAGTCTAAGCTGTTAAGCATGTTGTCATATTCACTTCACCAAAGACAGATCGAGAAACTGTAGACCTGCTTGGCTTGATGAATTAGGATGAACTGGAGCTTCGTTTATTTCTCATCGTCTAGTTGCCAAACACTCAAGTCTGCAATGCTTGACATCATTGCCTATATTTAACACACCCGGATTTTCGCATATGCGGACGACGCCGCCCTGATAGTAAAGGGCTCCACGAAGGGAATTGCAACAATTGTAACCTCTCTTTCAAGGGTGCAATAATGAAATTTGCAGAACAAAAGCAAATTCTCCCAAAAAAGGAGGCCCTAGTACGCAGGCCCACAATAAAAATTAATGGAGAGCGGATTAAGATAGTGTCGAGAACTCAGATACCTTGGCGTCATTTTTGACGAAAAAATGAATTGGATCCCCCACGTGCAAAGCCTTAAACTAAGGACAACTGCAATAGCTCGACAAATGAAGATGTTCTATGGATATAAATGGGGACTGAACCCCCACATACAAAAGGTGCTGTATTCCACAGTGGTAGAAAGAATAGTCACGTATGCTGCGGCAGTATGGGCCTATCCAATGCAAGGGAGAAAGGTTAAACACACCTTAATGCCATTCAACGACCCTTTGCATTGGGTATTACCCGGGCCTATCGCACCACTTCAAGCGAAGAAATTAATGTGCTGGCAGGCTTACTGCCCCTGCACATCCGTGCTGAGGAGGAGGCGGCACGACAGCAAGTCTTACAACTAAAAAAATGGTCACATTTGATGAAGAAATTTACTCCCCTGAGGAGTATGAGGAAAGCTGCAACCCGTTGGATGTACACCCAGCGGCTAAAGGAAGAGGGGTATACGTCTCGGTGAAGCCTAAGGATAATAACCAGCCACTTGGCCTGACAGCTTACACGGACGGGTCAAAGTTGGACTAGAAAGTGGGCTGTGCCTACGCCGCCATGAGGCAGGGTTCATCATAGAAAAATGGAAGGGCCGGCTCAGACAAAACAACAGCGTTTTCCAAAGTGAAGCCTTGGCCATATTGCAAGCAATCCACTATGTACATTCCATAAGATGCAGGCAGGCCACAATAAAAACTGACAGCTTGTCAACATTACATGCGATATGGAACCCCGACCATCCCTCTGAAATTATTCAAGAGATACAGAAGGCCCTTAGAAATAATCCAAATTTTAAGATCACATTAGAATGGATAAAAGCACACGAGGGCCATGAAGGGAATGAAATGGCAGATCAGCTTGCAAAGGAGGCCACCACAGAAACAGCAATAGCAGAGACAGTTATACCATGGCCGCGTTCTTACTTTAAGCGTACGCTGAGATTGAAAGCCATGGGGAAGTGGCAATGTGAATGGGACGAGAGCAACACAGAGAGGAGGACCCATTACTTCTGTGGTTATGTGGACACAGACAGAAATATAGCAAACACGCAGCTCGCAAGGTTTATCTCAGGGCATGGTCCCTTTCCTGACATTTTCTACAAATGTGGTTTCTGCAATACAAGTCAGTGCGCATGTGGAGAACCGGGCTCGCCAGAGCATTACTTGGAGACATGCCCGCTGACTGAGGGTCTCCACATTAGACTACCAGATAATAACAGACAACCGTTCTGTAAATATCTGATTAAGCAACGGCACCTAATTAAAAAGATTGTGCAGCTAATGGACAAATTAGCGGAACTTAATCTGGATTTGTGCCAAATTGAGCTCCGTCACATAAACCGTATGTTATCCTCAAAATAAAATACCCTATGCAACTATAAGATTTAATTTCAGCAGTAAAAATTATAGACCCAGAATCAATGAGAGTATTAAGAATGTAAATATGTAAATAAATATAATAATAAGCTCGCGAGTAATACTATATAAATTTGCATGAGTCATACCTTCAACAAGCAATACAAACAGAAATGTAGAGTGGTGCAAGCAAGCAATGTACAGTGCATCCCCCTCAAAGTACAACGTAAATGTAAATATGCTCAGTGCAAATGTGTTTATTAAGCAAGCGTGTTAATCAAGTGTGTTTTCAAGTGTACTCCAATTTACTGGCACACAGCATTATCACATATGTACCCGAAAATGTGCACTGTATACTCGAAAATGTGCATATAGGCCATAGGCCATCCTTAATATAAGAAATCTTATGCAATCATAAGGCCCAATGGTATCAGTAAAGATTATACATCTAGTATTTAAGAGAATACTCAAGAATGTAACTATGTAAATAGATTTCATAAGCATCGCTTGTAATATGTAATATGCTCCGCGTAAGTAAATATGTAAATATGATTGATGCGAAAGTATTAATCGAGTGCGTCGCAAATTGATTTCAGCATAAATAGTGCAAATATGTAATTAAGCCTCCTCAGTCTAGCAAGCAACATTACAAGTGTTGCCTCAATGTGGAAAGAGAGTTATGTAATGGTGTAAATATGTAAATAAGTTTCTATTGATAGCAAGCACTATTACAGGTGCAAAAACAAACGTTCACAACAGGATATGAATATAAAACTGCAGCAAATAAGGGATGTGAATATAAACTGCAGCGAATAAGTTTAGCAGGAACCCGAGGATGGACGACACTATGAATGTCTCAAAGCTTATAACACATGAACTACTACCAATGAACCGAACTAATAAACAACTGAAATCCAATGAACTAATAAACAGAAATCCAATGACTGTACTATATGTATCAGTAATTACAGACAATCATATGTAATAATCGAATAACAATGTAACAAACAGAATTATAATGTACTAGAAAGCAATATAATGTGCCAGAAAGAAAAATCTGTATGTAAAACCAGAAAATGCATGTAATCATATGAGTAGCCATTGTAATGCCATCTGTATATTATTTCTATGATTAAATAAATAATGTGCCCGGGCGGTAGGATGGAGTGAGCTCCCGGGGCAGTTTTTACCGCCCCCTGGAGCCTCCGTGGTTTGTTAAAATCCCCCGAGACAAACGAATCGGGTCTGATTCTAAAACCGACTCGAGGAATGGATCGAGATTTAAATTTGCCGGGATCTATTTGTCGGGGTATTCGCCAAGTCTGTCGCTACAAGGATCCTCAAACGAAACGTTACATCAATTTTGTTCGTGACGGGAGTGAAGACGATGAGTACGTGCTGCAACTGGAATATTAACAAATGATGGGATTTTCTAACGGATTAAAAGCCAGCGGGACAAGAGCCTTCCAGTGATCCGAATAATATAAATTATAAGGATCGTAATCATATACATAAGACGGTAAAATGGCTTTATCGGTATGATTCTTCCAAGCATAATCATCTCGAAGGGACAATAATACTGATTTAGAAGTGCACGGTGACAATAAACCTTGAATCATGCGTGTTTCCAGTAAAAGAGATGAACGAGGTCCAAAATATTCGGGATCCATAATTTGATGAGTGATCTTGGCCGTTTTATAGTTATACACCCATAGTCGTATGGACTGGGGTAAATATCGAGTACTTTCGTCGTGAGTTAAGTTCAAAAATTCTCGAATGGCAGGAATGTTACTATTCAGATACATTATGAAATTATAAATTTGTTCTTCGAACATCTTGTATTTAAACATATCAAATTCAGCAAGATGGTGACTGGACAGTTTAACACGAAAACATTTTTCCGGATATTGATTTATATTAAAATCTTTAGGATCGATTTGTCGTCGAATAACCAATTTACTACTCTCGTCCGAAGTGATAAATTCCAGTTTATATGGATTGGGTTCTTCTAAATATCTTTGATTCAACTCGAAACATGGGGAGTCAAATCGTTTTACTTTCCCGTCTGATTTATAAACCTCTTTGTAATAAATATCCATGACCACATAACCCAATAAAATGGGATATTTTTTCTGTTTCAATAAATCGAGGACGAGTTGTTTATAATCCATCTTCTTGTTTATCTCACAGAAAGCCACGTTCGAATGAGTTGACGAATAGGCTCATGGGGCATGAGTTCTTGAAAAGTATCTAAAACCTCGGCCAGACTGCGTTGTCGACTTTTACAAATCAGTTGATGCGTTACATCGTTGAAGACGACTTTCTCGGAGAGAATGCATTGACCGCGACATTTCTTCTTAAAATAATCCGGATGCATGAGTTTCACGTACCGAATAATGTCTCGAGTCGTTCGTCGTTTCAAGAACCGATGCCATTTCTTCTCGTTTAAAAATTCTCGATGACCGATGCGTTCTCTCTTTTCCACATTCAGAGCTCCAATATCCACGAGCACGGGATGATGGTCCGTGTACACAAAAGAACATAATTTTAAAACGGGAGCCGTTCCTCCGAGTCGATAACAAATACTACACAAGAAAACAATGAACGTGTAAAACGTTTCTGCTAAATATTCCGGTTGAAGAATGCGAGCACTATAAAGTCCAGGATTCATTTCAAAGAGACCTATTGTATATCCCGAACGTTCTCGGAAATGCGTCGCAAAAGGCAACACATACTCCGAACTCAATTGTCGATGAAGAAGGATCAAATCGAAAAAATGTTCGGGCAAGTCACAAGAGCTGCTGGCACTGTAAGATCTCCACTGCATCGAGTGGGAAGTAAACAGGCAGTGGAATCGTCTTTGATTGAAATTATTTAAAATGAGAAAACAGGCATAATCAAAATGCCAAGGACATTTGGAAGGAGCATAATAAACAATTTCTTTCACGTGTTCAATAATAGTATGAGTGGTGGATCGACTCATCTTCTTCTTTCTTTAAAAAAGAAAGATGGTGGTGGTCTGTGTCTTAGATATGGATGAGACGCTTGGATACTTTGAAGGAGAAACATTTCAAATTCGACCCAAAACCAATTTCCTGATCCAGTTTTTACGTCTTTGCAATATCGATATCATTTTGTGGAGTAAAGGTTCGGATGATTATGTCGAGCGAGTGATCAACAGTTCATTGCACGATATTGCACGATATGCGTATCGGATATTTGGCCGCACGCAATGTGAAAAGTCGTGCCGAAAGTATAATATTTCAAAATGTTCGGAACATATCAGAGTCTTGTACGATTACGACATTCTTTTAATTGGGGTCGATGATAACGTCAATGAAAATATGGACGAGCGCTATGATTTAAGAATTCACGTGAAGCCGTACAAGCAGATAGATCCCCGTGATCAAGAACTGTATAAAGTCGTGGAAAAAATTACCCAATTTTGTATAGATCATCAACGAGAGTTGTAGATGAAGCGAGATAGGGTTTTTGCTATGTCAGCTGGGAACCCCATTC